GTAAGGTATTCAGATGTATCTTCCACTTCTCTGATTATTTCTTCAATATAATTTTAAAAATTTTTTAGCAGTCAAATTATTCAATTTAAGTTGTTTCGTTTCACCCTCTAAATTCATCTTTTCATTCCTAATGGCCTCTTGTTGATTGGTTATCTTTGTGATTCCATCTTTGTTTCTTTAAATATATATATTCATACCTGTAGTCCATATTGGACAATTCTTATATCTACAGCTTTTAAATCTATTGTCTGTTCCCTGTGACTCTTAATTCATAATGGTTTGCCTTCTCGTGTATTTGCTCTTTGATTGTGAACTCATTGTTTGATAGTTGGTGGGAATCCTTTGGGCCTAAAATGGGGATTCTAGAAGCTTTCTAAGTCTTATCTCAGTCCAAGAATTCTAGGTTACTTTTTGCCACTTGTTGGGGACTTCACTTTTGAATGGGAAGAGCTGCAAAGTCACATTGTAAAAGGAGCCTGCAGTCAGAAATGAGAGGATTGTTGCAGCTGTCATTGCAAACAACCTACTTCAGTATACCCTCTGACCATAATAATTCACATACCGCCCACATACAAAAAAACATTCACAGACATCCTCCCAAAATCTCATTCTAATTATGGCATCTGGCTTGAAGTTCATGATCTTATAATCTATATCAAGTCCAGATGCAGATGAGGGTTCTTTGATGTGGCTTCTCTCCATCCTGAGGCTATGAACTAAAGACATTTTACCTGCCCACTACATACTCAATATACAGTGGTGGTACCAGGACAGGATAAACATAATAGCAGCTCCCATTCAAAAAAGGGAGGAACAGGAAGTTCATAGTAGTCTCTGGTTTACAGCAATTTTGAAATCCAGCCAGGGATCTGTTATCAGGTTCCCCTTCCCCAGGGATTGTGCATGTTCTTTGAGGAGAGTTCCATTCATTGCTTTCTTTTGTTCTTGGTTCTGTCCTGGACTTTGAGCTCTGTCCCTTGAGACCTTTCCTCCTTTTACTTAAGTAATGCTCTTATGTTTTGCAACTGAGTATCTTCTTCAACCTGTTTCTCTTAAAAAGTTGAGGATCCTCCAGAAGGCTCTTGTTTTAAACTGTCTCTTCATTGCAATGGTATAAAGCAGTACAGAGCACTCTTCGAAAGCTAGTGCTTTCATTAGTCCAACTCTCTCAAAAAATTATGGATTTTGTATGAATTTCACTGGAGTTCACTCCATATTTACCACCATGTTATTTCTCAATAATTTATCCTGTTCTTTAGTACTTCTCTCTTCATTATAGCCCGAGAAAGAACCTGCTTTTTTCTACACCTCTGGGGCTTTGTTCTCCTTGCTCCTGTATCTGAAGCGTACTATTTTAGCCTTTTGCCTCATTCACCTTTGTATCCAGCACTTCACCTTAGTAGTAGTTAAGGACTAAATAGAATGGAATTTTCTCTTACTTAAACCTCTAAGGTAATATTTGGGAATTTCTGAGATGTGTCTACTCTAGCCAGTCTAGCACACTGGAAACCATCATATATCTCTTGAATGGCAATAATTTTTAATCCCTCCTCCCCCCCCCACACACACAATCCAAGTAATTACCAGTTTGGGGTGAGTTCTATAGTAAGGATCAGCAAACAATAGCCCACAGGCTTAACCACCTGTTTTTGTTTTGCCCATGAACTAAGTATGTTTTTATATTTTTACATGGTTAAAAATGTTTAAAACAATAATAATATTGCAAGATAGGTAAAGCTATATGAAATTCAAATTTCAGTGTCCATAAATAAAGCTTTATTGGAACACTGCCTTGCTCATTTATTTACATGTTGTCTGTGACTGCTTTTATGCTTCAGTTGTAGAATTGACTAGTTACAGCAGAAACCATAGCCCACAAGGTCTAAAATATTTACTACTAATATGTGGCCCTTCACAAAAAAATTTGCTGAGCTCTATTGTAAAGTGGTTAGACAGCTAAGCAAAGCTCTTCTGCTGGTTTAGCCCATTAATACGTTCTTGTGTGGTGATTGGCCCAATTATATTTGAGGAAGATTTAGACAAGTTGGAAGCTAGCATTCCCTTCAGCCCAGACTCTACTTTTGCTGTCAAACTTATTTTATCTAAATAGGTCTTCTCTTGCTGTGCACACTTTCCTCTCCTTTTCTGTGGAAATATTTGACAATAGGATCCGTTATTCTTTTTGGCTCTCTTCCTATCGTATCCATTCTCCTTGCTGGTGCTAAAAGTATCATATAGCATTTTTTAGGTGAACTTTAAAACTGTGCCAGAAAATGGAATGATGGTTGTGAAGTGAAACAGTTCATTCAACAGATTATTCCCCCCTGCAGATACCCTTTTTCTATTTTGTTGGCCAGAAAATCAAGACCAAGGTGAGGGGAAACATTAGGCAAACTAGGATCATAAAAGATTTACTTACAGTACATAGAAAAGATAAGCCAGGCTAGAATGGGGAGCTCAGCATTTCCCTTGTCGTGTACCCAGTGTATTCCCATTAGCAGCAGCTCTCCTTAGACAAAGTGGTTCTCAAAGGTAAGAATGAGGTAGGATGGGGTCAACTATTCACATCATCCAGGCTTTTACCAAATTTGGTAATGCCTATGTCTAGGTTGGAAACCAGATTATCACATCTGAGATAGCCATAGTGATATTTGTAGCCTTGTCTCTGAGCAGCTTGTGTGGGATTTTAAAAGCCATTTAATTTCTGCACTCCTCGCCCACCCCCCAGTTTTTTTGGCCCCGTGCATAAGATATGCCTCATGGATAATAAAGGCATTATGATTAAAGTGAATTATGACTTTCAAAATCAGCCTTCCCTATATGTGTCCTTAGTCAATGGCACATTTTTCTCGTTTTATTTGGGATTTATTCAGATGTTCTGCATCCCCTTGAAGGCTTTCGATGTTGTCTTTGTAGCTAGTGGGTTAGGCTATATATTGGAGTTAACATTCTGTTCTATATATGATGTCTCTTGTAAACTGCATATACTATAGTAATTCTTCAATCTGATCTCCCCTTCACTTTTCTATTCTTCTGTAAACTGTCTGGCTTCTACTCTTGAGTGCACTCAGGTCATTACTGTGTCATCTCTGGTACATCTGCACATGTCTCCTCCACAGATGAGACATACTTTCCAGGAGTCAATTACTTGTTCTCAAATTTGCCTATTGGTTGCTCTTATTATTTTAATAAAGTAATTTGCAAGAAAGTGGTATATAAATGAACAAAACGTGAATGTGGAAAGAAAGTTTTTATGAAAACTGGTGTTTAGGAACTACTTGAGTAAGGACAGTTCCCTAAAGGAATTTTTGTCAATTTGCCTAAGTAAGACAGCTGTGAAAGACTGGGGAGAAACTGTAAAAATCTAGGCATCTTCATTCTGTATCAGAGAACCCATAGTAAAAAACAATAGTCCCAGATCAAGAGATTTGCAAATGAATGTATATTTTAAGATGTTTAGTTAAGATAATATGGTTATGTATCTTCTTTCTTGTTTCTTTGCTTTAACTGATTATTTGCAGTTATTCAGTTAGCTACAAAGACTGATCATGGGGGTGGGGTTGAGAGTACTTTAGTTTCATTGGATTTTTTAATATCGAAAATATAACTGTAATTTTACATATTGTAATTGAATTTTCTATAGCAAGCATGCATTAATTTCCCTTTTAGTTTATTAAATTTATTACCACTACTTTTCTTTTTCATTTTTTTCTTTCTTTTTTTTTTTTGAGACAGAGTCTCACTCTGTTGCCCGGGCTAGAGTGCCATGGCATCAGTCTAGCTCACAGCAACCTCAAACTCCTGGGCTCAAGCAATCCTTCTGCCTCAGCCTCCCAAGTAGCTGGGACTACAGGCATGTGCCACCATGCTCGGCTAATTTTTTCTATATATTTTTAGTTGCCCAGCTAATTTCTTTCTATTTTTAGTAGAGACAGGGTCTCGCTCTTGCTCAGGCTGGTCTCGAACTCAAATGATCCACCCGCCTCGGCCTCCCAGAGTGCTAGGATTACAGGCGTGAGCCACCGCGCCCGGCCTATTACCACTACTTTTAATTTGTAGTTTTCTTGCCTTACAACTTTGTTATGCTGTTCTGTGGTCCATTTCTTAATGCTGTTAAAACTTACATACAAAGATCTTCAAAGATTTTCTTTTTTTTTTTTTAAGATTAGGACTTCCTTACATATCTTTGGAAATCCTGAGTACTTTTTATTTGATGATGTTAATTTTTTAAATCCAGTTTTGAAGTATTAATTTTTTTGGTAAATGACAAACTTAATTAGGGAGATGTTTTTAATTTAACTTTTTAATTTAGGAGGTTTTTAAAGTTAATCATTCCTTGGAATATACTTCTTGCGTAGTTGAAGTTCATTTTGTTTGTTGAATTCTCATTGTGAAGAAATAAATGTGTGAAGTAGAAAGTAATACCACCTGTATCAGCCAGGGTTCTGATACACGTCTTGTGTAGCTGAAGTCCATTTCTTTAACTACACAGTTCATTTGTTTGAATAATTAAATTTTATTTCAAGACCCTCATTTCTTTCATGTATGCTTTCCTGACCATAGCAGCATACACAGATCCTCTGCATCACTTATTTGCCGTCATTTCTTGACTCTTAGTGTCATTTTAAGTTGCTGCTCAAATTTTTTTTTTAATCATCCAGCCCAAAATGTCACTAACTTTTTAAATGTTTATCTTTTCTCTTGTATTTGTGTGTTTGCTAATGCATTGAATGGAGTGGGGGAAGGTCAGGCACTCTGCTCTTACAGTTTGAATTTTACAGCCAGCCTAGCCTAGTACCTTATGGAGAGTTAATCAACTATTGCTAAGTACCTCGACTTTTCTGAAAATTGGAGATTTTTAAAATGCTTTCTTATAAAATGGAATAGCCCTCAAAATTATGCCTTTGTTAATATCCAAAGGGTTTTATTTTTCATATTGTACTTAGTGCTAAAATGCTTAAAAATAAACCTTAGGAAGCTAATTTCCTTTTAATTAGCAGGTGCTTCCAAGGAAGGAGGTGCTGGAGCAGTTGATGAAGATGACTTTATAAAAGCTTTTACAGATGTCCCTTCTATTCAGGTAAGTGACATGGCACTCCCCATGAATATTGCCTGCGTGCCTGTTCATATAATTATTTGTCTTTGTACCTTTTTTAAAATTCTTTTTTCCTTAAATGATTATATAAATGAAATATTTGACTTATTATTACCAAACTGTTACTTGTTGATACAATTAGATTTTCAACTGATTTTTTTTCAGTGAGGCTCAAATAACATTGAATCTGTATTATTAAATCACATTATCTTGCAATGTCCAACTTAAAGTTCAGATTCTTGAATTAATAAGTTTGAGCCCAGAGAATGTTGGAAATTAGTTGACAATAGAAATTTGGAAGGCATTCACGTAGACATAAATGAAGATGTCAGAGTGGACACATCTATAAATAACAGTATTATTTCCATGGCTTAAAAATGCACATAAGTGTTATATTGTAAGTAACATTCTACTACCTGACTTTTTACTCAATACTGGTTTTTATATTTTTTCACAGTGTAAAATCTGTGATTCTAGTTCACTCATTTGGATTGATAGATGGTATTGTATTCTATTGAGTTGAACAGACCACAGTTGATTTATCTTTTCTGTTGATTGGATATTTAGGTTGTTTCTTAACTTTTGGCTATTACATATTGTGCTGCAATGAAGATTTTCGTACATATGTCCTTGATTATTTGTAGGTATTTTTTTACCTACAAATGAAAGGTCTGTAAAATACAAAAGGAGGGAGAGATATATTTTTCCTATAATTTAAAAAGTAAATATCTTAAAATAAGATATTTTTTAAGTGTGAACATAGGGATGGAATTGCATGGAAACTTTAATAGATATTACTGTGTAGGGTTCTTGAACCAGTTAAGACTCCTACAAGAAAGGTATGATAGTTCTCATTTCTTCACATCCTTGCCAGCACTTGAAGTTGTCACTTAAAGTATTTTTCCAGTATGATGAATGTGAATGCTGATGTTCTTTAGCATGTCTATTGGAAAATATCTCACATTGCTTTACTTAAAAAACTGTCTATATTACCTTCTTAGCTCTCTGAAAGGGAATGTTGTCCTTAAGCTGTTTAAGATCTTAAAAAGTTGTGAGAAAGCTTTAAAAAATTCTCTGATTTGAATGTTTTTCCCTTTATTGAAATATTTTTGTCTTAAAGATACTTACTTTTTAAATAATAGGAAAAACATATCACTCCCTCCTTTTGTATTTTCCAGACTTTTCATATAAGAGAAAGATTAGTGCTGTAGGAACAATTAATAAAACTTAGTTGAACTTGAATATTTTTTATTCAATATGTTATTGTCAGACTGGTAACGTCATGGTATCAGGGAAGCCAAGGGCTACTCAACTATATGGAAGAGGAAAAGCTGTTTCACAATTACTCATTGCTTTCTTGCAGCTGATCATCTGCCACATACACACCCCCTTCTAAATGTTCCACACCTTCCACTGTGCCCCCTGGAACATCTGTTTCTTAAGCAGTAATTCCTCTAAGTCTTTAACTCCGTTTTTTGAGAGTCCCTTCAATGTCATTGCCTTAATCAAAATCTGATTTTTTTTCCTTAAGCTCTTTAAAGGGTAGGCTATTTATGACTCTTGACTCTTATGCCCTTAGCAATTGATAGTAGGTTTATTGTGCTTGTTCTCCTCATTATCACTTGGTGACCATTATTCCTACACCCATTTAAATGAGGTTCATGCTCTGTGACCATTCCCCTTATTATTGCTGGGTACTGATCTGGACGTATTTCACTGCTGCCAAGACTTGAATCCCAGCTCTTCGGAAACTACTTAACCCTCAGTACTTCAGTTTCCTTATCTTAAAATAGGAATTATTAGTACATACTCAGAGGGTTATTGTGAGGATTAAATATGACAATACAGATGAAGCACATGATGGGTACATGTTAGCTATTAGAATTATCTTAAACTTTGACACATTTTTGATGACTTCAGTTTCCATTTGAATGACGCATCAGTTTCTTGACCTCTTCTCCTTCTTCACCTTAGTTATCCACTTCATAGTCGCACGTTGGATTTTGAAGTTATCTATATGTTATTGCTCTGTCTCTAGAGTCATTAATGGAAGCATCTCACTACTGACCAGGATCTTTTTGCTTTTTCAAGTGCTCTAACAACTACTTCTCCATGACTTAAGGATCTTCAGTCCATTGCCTTTTATACTCACTCTTAATTCATCATCTCTCACTTCTACTTTCCTTCTCATCTAAGTATTTTTTCCCCTCAGACAGAGACTTGCTCTGTTGCCCCAGGTAGAGTACAATGGTTGATCATGGCTCATTGCAACCTCAAACTCCTGGGCTCAAGTCATCCTCCCTCCTGCCTCAGCCTCCCAAATAGGTGGGACTACAGGCATGCGCCACCACACCTGGCTAATTTTTTCTAATTTTGGTAGAGGCAGGGTCTTGCTCTTGATCAAGCTGGTTTTGAACTCCTGACCTCAAGCGATCCTCCTCCCACCTCAGCCTTCCAGAGTGCTAGGATTACAGGCGTGAGCCACTGCACCCAGCCTCATATAAGCTTTAATACTATGGTTTCTTGCAGTAGGGCTACAAACAAGATAATAAAATCCCTTGTTTCTCTGATTTTTTTTTTTCCCAGAGTAAAGTATCAAGTAATGTTTTGTTGTGTTTTTTTTAAAAAAACATTTTTGCAAAACTACAACTCTAGGTGATTCCCAGCTTTTAACTTTTTTTATTTTCATAGCCCAGAAATAGTGCTGCTAGAGAAAGTCACATGTTAGGACACATGATCTTTAGTGGAATTCACATAAATGAGCCCTCAACAATCTCATATCCTTGCTATGTTTCTGTGATCAAGTTACTTCTCTGCTTTCCTCAGCTATCAGTCATATTTCTTTCCATCTATCAGTGTGGCTTTCTCCTCTCTTCTCTCACTACATGGCCTTGCCTCTTACTTTATTAAGTCATTATCATCAAGGGATCACCATCTTTCTGTTACATTCTTTCCCACTGTACATTCCTTCTGTCATTTTGCTCCAGAAACATGGTCCTTCTTCAAAGGCCAGCACCTCTGCCAGTGATCCAAAGCCCTTTATTTCCTACTTTCTTAACACATTTATATAATCAGTGATCTCATGTAGGTTCAAGCTCTTGCTCTTTTCTGCAACCTTCTCACTGTTAACATGGCTGGGTTCCTCAACTTAAAAAAAAAAAAAAGTCTCACCTGACTCCATATCCTCCAGATATTCTTTATTTTGTTGCTCACAGCCTTCCAAAAGAGTTGTCTGTACATGATATTTCCATACCTTCACCTGCCATTCATTTCATCTCACTTCTTTCCAGTTTCTTCCTCCATTGAAACAGGTCTTGAGTAGATCACTAATCATCTTCATAACACCAGAATCAGTTTTAGTGTTTTTTCTTGACATTTTAGCAGTATTTACCACTGTTGACTACATTCACTGTTTAGTTGTTTCTTTTTAGGTACTTAGAATATGATGTTATTTCATATTGTACCTCTTGTTCACTTCATCTCTGTCTCCTTTTAGGTACATCTTTCTCTACTTGGCTATTAAATATTAGAATTTCTTAAGGATTAGTTCTGGGCTCTGTCTTCTCACTCTCCATTTTCGTACTGAGTCACCATGACTTCAGTTCTCACTTTTGTACAGATAACACCTAGGTTTTTATCTTCAGGCCAGACCTCTCCTGAGCTCCAAAATAATTAATCCACTGTGATTGTTTACTTAACAGCTCCTTTTAGATGTCTCAGAGGCATCTCAGACTCAAAGTGTTTGAAAATAGAATCTTGATCTTCTTCCTCGAAAACCTAGTCTTCCAGTATTCTGTATGTGTAAACTATTACTTAATTACAAAAGTTAGAAACCTAGGTATCATTCTACTGCAACAGATTCCTAACTTACTGGTTTTCAAACTTCTTTTGCTTGTATACCCACTAAAAGAATGTTCAAAAAATTGTGTACCCCATCACTGAAGTAAATTTTTGAGTTGACCCTTTTTTTCCTTGTTTGGGGAAGGGGAGCCTTGCATTGTATTCCAGGGCAGTGCATCATATTAAGATTAGGGGTGAGAGAGGGGCCTGCCTTTCTTCTGGAAAATGGTAAAAGGGCTATTGTGAAGGGAAGGTGGGAGGCAGGAAAGACCCAGCTTAGAAGCTCCCAAGAGTCATTCTTTGACAGAATGTTGTCTGGTCCCCCTCCTACTTCTTCAGCCTTGTCTCACGCCCTCCTTTTCTTTGTGCACACATGCACACACACTTTTTAAAGTGAAAGGTGAATTTAATAGCTATTGACAGTGAAAGATATAGGTAGTGCAGTTTGATGAAGGAACTTAGACAATATCATCAGGATTCCATTTCTCTCCATCTCTCATTTCTGATTCCTCTGCATTGTCTTCCCTAGTGGTCAGCAGTATGGCTGCAGCTGTTCCAGCTTCATACCTTCACTACCCTCTGCCGCTTTGCCAGTTGATCCTGTAAAACTTGTGAGATTAACTCTGATTAAACTGACATATAGGGACTTTCATCCTCATTTGTGGTACTTCCTATTTGCAATTTCATATTTTATGTCATTTAATTAATTATTTTAAATCTCCCTGACTAGATTGTAACCTCCATAAGGCAAAGACCAGGTCTGTTTTTGCTCACCTTGATCTCCCTAGTGCCTCGCATAGTACACATCCCTGTTATGTGAATATTTGTTAAATAAATGAAAGAATAATGGTGTTTCGCTGTTTGGCAAATGGTTGGCTCTAGAGCAGCAGTCCCAACCTTTTTGGCACCAGGGACCAGATTCGTAGAAGACAATGTTTTCAGTGAAGGATGGGGAGCAGCTGTAAATACAGATGAAGCTTCGCTCCTTGGCTCCCTGATTCCCTGGTTCCCTGGCTCCCTGGCTTCCTCGCTCCCTCATTCCCTCCTCGCTCCTTCCTGGCTAGCCTGCTCCTACTCTTCCCTGGGGGTTGGGGACCACAGCTCTAGAGGAAACCAAGCATGTAGCTATCTTGGCTTCAATTTATCATGGCAGAGAAGAGAAAAACAAAACTCACTTAAAACATGTCTTTTTTGCAATATTGTGTTTTAAGTCTTGAATGCAATAAGATAGGTTATATACTTGAAGTCATTTTGAGAAATTAGACCTATTTTTATTAATTCTTGGATATTTGCATCCTGTTTTAAAATTACAAAGTATTTTAAGAGTATATTTGAAGTTACTCATGAGGGGAGAAATGGCAAAAAGAGTAACAAGAAGGAAGACAAAGCATTTCATTTTATTATCGTCTATAATGTATTTCTATTCTCCGTTAAGAAATGATGCCAGAATGGAAAATAACCTAATTACTTGAAAGATTCTTTTAAATATCAGGCTACAATTTTTATATTGTTTATGGCAAAAAATATTGTTATAATTCCAAATCTTTTCTTTAAGATCTATTCTAGTCGAGAACTTGAAGAAACATTAAATAAAATCAGGGAAATTTTGTCAGATGACAAACATGACTGGGATCAGCGTGCCAATGCAGTAAGTTTTTTATTTTTTTTTTATCTTTCCTTTAGTGTTCCTTTTCAAAAACATGGAATTTCAGTAGTAGTACTATGTGGTATTCATATATAAAATAGAGTCTGAGAGATAACACTTCTTTCTGGAGAAAGAAGATAATTGAGATAATACATTGAGATAATAGATATTTTCTGATTTAAGGTCAATTTTTATTCTGTTTTTGCTGGTTAGATAGTGACTAACCTACACATATTTGGTAGCCGCTCCACATGTGGTATTTGTTGACTGATCAGGAAGCTAAAAGCTTCAGAGGGCCTTGGCCTCTTTGTGGGCTTTACGTAGTCGCTTATCAGCACCATCCTTAAGTCATATAAAGTTAACCAGTAAAGCAGTTCATTTTTCCTACATGCTGAATATTTTCATAGTATTGACATAAATTCACAACATTATGTGCATTTATCTGACTTTTTTCTTTCTTTTCACATGAATGTGATGAATATTTCTCACCCATGATTTTAAAAAAAAAGGCCAGATATTGTTGAGTTAAGGATATTTTATTTAGCCAAAATACCTTGAGGAAAATATTTGATAAATTTTAAAGCAATATTTGTATTGGCAACGGACTGTATATTTTATTTCAAAGTGTGTGAATTTTTGAAATTTAAATGACCAAATTACATGTACCAAATGAGTACTTTAAAGTCCTCAAGAAGCCAGAGAAGGGACTCCATTGGAAGATTCCCTTCTGCTCTGAGAGCACCCAATCTGACTGATCATGAAAATCTCCATTTTGATGAGTTAAATCAAATATGGTCTTTTGGCAACTATGGCTTTTATGATACTCTGAACAAAAGATCATTTTGTCTTCTCTTTGTTAGACAGTCTGTATATCTTAAAATGTTGAAATACGTGGTTTTGTGTAGGGTGTGTGTGTGTGTACATGTGTGTGTATGTGTATGTGTTTATGAGACAAGGTCTTGCTCTGTCACCCGGGATAGAGTGCAGTGACACAATCATAGCTCACTATAGCCTCAAACTTCTGGGCTCAGGTGATCTTCCCACTTCAGCCTCTTCAATAGCTGAGACTACAGGTGCATACTACCACACCTGGCTAATTTTTAAAATTTTTTTGTAGAAACAGGGTCTCACTATGTTGCCCAGGCTGGTCTTGAACTCTTGGCCTGAAGCTATCCTCTTGCCTTGGCCTCCCAAATGAAATAACACTTTTTAACAGAGAATATGTTGTTCCAGATTTGTTAATTATGGTTCATATTGTTTCTTCAGTTGTGAGATGGGTCTAATATAGAAAAATCGTTCTCACAGATTATCTGTGGAGAAACATAACAGAATAAATGTTGTCAGTATGAAACATAAACTTTGTACTTGAGGGTTTTTTGGTTTTACTTTGAAACTACCCATTTGGAAACAACAGATGGTCTTTTAGTTATCTTTTAATTTTCTTTAAATTACTAATAGAAAAGTGACACAAACTTATTGTCATAAGTAGAAAAATGCAGAAAATTATAAAGAAAAATTTAATAGTTTCCTTCCTATTAAAGAAACAAACTTTTCATTTAGAGTATGTCCTTTTCTACGTATATATATTCAAACATATATCATAAAATAAACAGAGTTTTTTCCCCACCCCTTTTGTAAAAACAAATGAGGGTCATATTCCATATATTACTTAGTAACTTGCTTTTTTTAGTGTAATAAATCATGCTCTTTTAGTATACCTGGTATATGTTGCTCAGATATTTATTGAATGCAGATCAATATGTACATATATTCCTTAGGGTAATATATCTACATGTTTATTAAACCATTTCCCATTTGATGAATTCACAGTTTTTTATTTTTTGCCGTTTTAACAATGTTGCAATAAACATCTTTGCACACATTTGTAACAATGGTGCTTTTATTTTTGTAGGTTAGATTTTAAAATATGGGTTGTTGAGTAAAGAGTAGATGTGATTTTATTTTAGTAGATGCTGCCAAAATATTTTGAACAAAGGTATTAGTCATTTACAGTCTTACTTGCAGTCTTTGAGAGCATCTATTTTCTCTCTCATCCTGGATGATACCAGGTTTTTAAAATTTTTGCCATTGCGATGGGGAGAAATGATGTGTCTTTGTTGTAATTTGAATTTGTTTGTCACTAGTGAGTTTGAGCACATTTCATTCATTTATTTTGTCCAGTTTAATATTGGGTTGCAACAGTCTCCCCTTGTCTGTGGTTTTACTTTCTGTGGTTTCATTTACACATGGTCAACTATGGTCTGGAAATATGAAAATATTTTAATAGAGACTGCATTCACATGATTTTTATTATAGTGTATTGTTATAGTTCTATTTTACTATTATTGTTACTCTGTTACTGTGCCTAATTCATAAGTTAAAATTTATCATATGTATGTATAGTACATAAAGGGTTCAGTACTGAGATTTCAGGCATCCACTGGCTGTCTTAGAATGTATCCCCACAGATAAGAGGAAACTACTATGTTTGTCTTTTTATTATTTTATTATCATTCTTTGTGTATTGTATGTTGCAAGTAATTTTTTCCTACTGTACTGTGACTTTTATTTCATTTTTAGTTAATATTATTTAGACACTTCTGGAAATTCTCTTATGTTTATGATAGTCTTCCCTTCCTTATACATCCCAAGATTATATAACTGTTCTTTTGATTTTTTTCCTAATATCCATATTGGGTTGGGTTTTTTTTTTTACATTTACATCCTTAGTCCATATGATTTAACTTTAAAGATATTTTAAAATTTAGAAAACCTCTGAGTTAAATGTGAAATTATACACGATAATGGTGACGATAAGTAAACTTTTAGCTTCTGAGTATGTGTTGAGCACACATACACACCTGCATGTATCTCTTTTGATTGATGTAATTTTATTATGTATGTCTGGTGTTCATATGGATAACATTTGGCATATACTAAAAAGTAATGCTAAAGGTATATACATAGGGAGAAAGAGCCATTTGCTTCACAGTGTCATAATGTTAACATATGAACATGATGATAGCTTGATGGATGGTCATTTTACTTTCGTACTTCCGCTTATGAATGAATAGAGTTTCCAGATTTGGCCCTTTAAAGAAATAGGCTCCTTTAGTAAATAATGGTAATACTTGTACAACATCGTGAATATACTTAATGCCACTGAATTGTATACTTTAAAATGGTTAAAATAGTAAATTTTATGTTAATGTGTATCTTACCACAAGTAAAAAAGAAAGACTCCCTTAAATATTAAAATTTACTTTTCTGCTTATAGATTACATATATCTGTCGTGCATATAACTAAATCTATAATGTTCTTTCTCAGAAAGCTTTTTGTTTGCATGTTTATTTACATGATGCATTTAATGCTGCTAAATGTCTGAATATAGTAATATAAAAAAATGAAACATTAAAATGTTTCATTTTTTAAAATATTTTGTTTGAATAATGTAGTTTAGGTAGCTTTTTTTTTTTTTTTTGCATTGACTGCCACCTTTTTTGTCAATAATGAAAATATTTTTTATTTCAGCTTAAGAAAATTCGATCACTGCTTGTTGCTGGAGCTGCCCAGTATGATTGCTTTTTCCAACATTTACGCTTGTTAGATGGAGCACTTAAACTTTCAGCCAAGGATCTTAGATCCCAGGTGGTTAGAGAAGCTTGCATTACTGTAGCGTAAGTATGTTCCTTTTGCAATAAGTATTTTTTATGAATGCATTTAGTACTCATTGATTCAGTGCTCATTAAGTAAAGCAGTAGCAAGATAAACCCCCAAAATGTATATATGATCCAAAAATCATTTTTATTATACATAAGGATTCAATTTGTATGATTGAAAAAAAAAAGATCTTTCTTAACAGCTCTTTATAACCCTAAAATGTATTTATATGTCTAAAGCCCTACTGGTTAATTTTTGATCATTAACTCCACAAATGTAAGGAGAAAACGAATAGATCTGGCAACTGACTGTATTCACTTTTCTCATTACTAATTTGGATATTAAGTACTCTATTTCTGATATTTTAGCAATTATCCTGGAATTGCAACATTCATCATAAACTTACCAAAATCTAAACTTATTCTGTATGCTTATAGTCTTCCACAGTACAAGGATGGTAGAACACTAGTGGTAAATTGTATTTACCACTACTGACCTAAATACTGTTGTTATATATGTGGTTGTATAAACATTTCTTTGAAGATAAGAGAACATGAAGGTGCATATTATTAGCATTTCTGATCAGGATTATATTAGATATTCTAGTCAGAACATAAAAAAAGGTAATAAAAACTATGAGGATTGCAAGAAAATGAACAGAACTGTTTTTATGAACAGATGATAAAATCCATGCAGAAAACCACAAGAGAATCTACAGATAAATTATTATAATTAAGGAACTTTAGCAAACTTGCTAGGTACAATACAGTATACTAATATACCCAAATGATCAAATGTCTCTAACTAGCAAAAACAACCCAAACCAAAACAAAAATCCATAAAATGTAACCTTGAAAAATACACTTAAAATAGGACTGACCCTCTTGCAGAAAACTGGACAAAACATGTAAAACTGTTTCCAGATAATAGACAGCAGCCAGTGTAGGAATAGGAGTCTTGAAAGACACAAATGAGTTGAGTATTATGAGTTTTGACCTGGAGACACTTTCTAAACCCTGGGCAAGGGAGGGTGAACCTAAGCAGAGCAAGGCAACCTCACTGAATTGAGGCAACAGAGATTGGAGTTTCGAAAGGCTGAGGTGGCCAAACTTTGCAGTGTAGGATACTGGAGAGAAGAGAAATACAAAGAAAAAGAGCTATAGAAATCAGTATATGGGATCCCATGGGTCTAGCTGAATACTAATCTGTACAATGAAAGGTACAACTCCTTGAGAAAAGAAAAGAACTGCCTGGGAGCTATAAGATAAACAACAATTCCCAGAGCTCATACGGGGATAGGAGAGGTTCAGGATCTGACCAGCTAGAATGAGGAAACCTTGTTGAACACCCAGTGCATTCAGTAGAGACCCCAGAAAGATCATGGTATAGCAGTAGTACTAAATCAGCTCTAAAGTAAGGCTACTGTAGACACCCCCTCTCCCAACAAGCTTATAAAGATCAAGCTGATTCCCAAGTACATTACCTGCCTACTAGAACAAAGTTCACACTCTTGTTTTTTTTTTTTTCTTTTCTTTTTTTAATTCTAAAACTCACACTCTCTAAAGGAAGATAACATCTAGACAATACCTCCCTGGTTTTCATTTGAGGTTCCTTTTTGCCTTTGAGTTCAGACATTAGAAAACTGACATAATTGAACACTACTAAATAGGTCTGAATCTGAGTACCTCTTTGAATCAAGAACCTGAGTTTTTGGAACTAACTCTATCCCAACCATGTATTTTAAATAAGATATAAATATATAGAAATTAACCAACACTACAAGCATTGTCAAAACTGTGATTACAGCATCCTGCCTGTTTTAACTAAAATCATATAATTAAAGGCTGATTTAGTTGTTTAACTACAAATTTGGAAAGAGAAGACAGATGTCCTTAAGATCACCCAACTAATTAGCATATGGTAGAGCTGTATTTTTAATCCTACCCCAAAGAAGTCAGGGAGTATCTGTGACCAAAAAAGTAGAAATAGAGAATGTCTTGAGGAGCATTGATTTGGGTAAGATTTTGAACATGGTTGTAAAATATGTTCAACTTAAGATTGATAATGGGGCATCACAATGGAAATATCTCATGGTTAAAGAGCAAAGGTCAGAGCAATCAGGCCTGATTATTTTACGTGACATTTACTTAGAGTTAATAGTTAAATTCTGCGATCAGATGGCTTCTCCAAGTGCTACTGCAAAGATATGAGTAAAATGCCAAATTTCAACTTTGGACTAGATAAAGGATGAGGAAAAGCAAGTAATATATAGTATTTGGACTTCCCTTTTTCTCCTTTGTTTTTCAGCCACTAGAACTGATTAAAATAAAAATACTTAAGTTAATTCAGTAAAAGTATTTTAAGACTGAGCACATTGGCTCACATCTGTAATCCTAGCACTTTGGGAGGCTGAAACAGGAGGATGCTTGTGGCCAGGAATTTGAGACCAGCCTGGGCAACATAGCAAGACCCCATCTATACAAAAAATAAAATCAGCTAGGTGTGGTGGTACATGCGTGTAGTTCTAGCTACTCGGGAGGCTGAGGCAGGAGGATTGCCCTGCTTGAGCCCAGAAGTTTGAGGCTGCAGTGAGCTATGATAGTACCACTGCAGTTCAGCCGGGGTAGACAGAGTGATACTGTCACTAAAAATATCTCTAAAAATGAATAAATAAGAAAGAAAGTATTTTATTAATAATATTATATGGTCCTATCTATTTTTAATGCTAAACTATTAAAAATACTTTTTGTCTTCCTTTGTAGTCATCTTTCAACAGTTTTGGGAAACAAGTTTGATCATGGCGCTGAAGCCATTGTACCTACACTTTTTAATCTTGTCCCCAATAGTGCAAAAGTCATGGCAACTTCTGGATGTGCAGCAATCAGATTCATCATTCGGGTAGGTTCTTCTCTCTTTCTCCTCCTCCTTTTCTGCCACCACCACGTACTCTTTCTCCTCCTTCTCTTCATCCTTCTGTTCTCTCTCTTTCTCTCTCTCTCTCTCTTACTCACTCCCTCTGTTGCTCTCTCTCACTCTCTCTGTACTTAAATAAGTCATTGGCGTTTTTTAAGCCCAAAGGAAAATCACTTGAATTATTTTTCTTATAGTAAAAGCAACACACGGTCGTTATAATCATTATAGAACACAGAAAATAAATACAGAGGATTACAAAGTAAACATGCTTGTATATGGAATATAATACAAATACACATGTATATATGGGTATGTATGTACTAGTACTTGTGTGTGTAATCACAAATGTTATAGACAGTAATAAAAGATGACAGGCAAATTCTTAAAACAGTCATGTGCTGCATGACAACATTTTGGTCAATGACTGCATATATGATGGTGATCCCATAAGATTTTAATAGTGTATTTTTACTGTGCCTTTTCTATGTTTTGATATGTTTAGGTACCCAAATACTTACCACTGTATTACCATGCTTACAGTATTTAGTACAGTAACATGCTGTATATGTTTGTAGCCTAGGAGCAATAGACTACACCATATAGCATAGGTGTGTAGTAGGCTATACCATCTAGGTTTATGTAAGTACCCTCTATGATGTTTGCACATTGATGAAATTGCCTAACGATGCATTTCTCAGAATATATCTCCATCATTAAGCGATGCATGACTGTATTTCTGCTCATCCATATCTTGAGGATGCTCAAAAGAACAGAGTTTAAAAAATAAATCTCTCTTCTTGAATTCTACTCTTCTATAACTGATCACTCTAACTGATCACTATAACTGATGAGTCATTTAGTATGTACTTTTCCAAACTTCTGTTCTATGCCTATACAAGCATATTTGCTACACAAATAGAAAATGTAAATATATATAATATGTTCTTTAACTTCTTTTTTAAACCTTATGTACTTGGGCAGCTTCCCTTGTCTATACATGTAATTCTTTTTAATGTCTAAATCAGTCGTCTTTTAAAACAGATCATCAAATTGTCTTCACTATTATTGCAGTTTATGGAGTCCTTCTTCACCATCCCTTTACCAATATTGTATTTTATCAATATTTTTAAGGCTTTATAATTTAATAAATGTAATATTACTTCATATTCTTCTTTACATTTCCTGCATTATTAGGGATATTAGCTGGGTTTTTTTCTTTTATAATTCTTCTGTGAATTATCAGTTTGTAGTCTGCATTTTTTTCTCACTTATTTCTAAGACTTTTTTATATATCATAGGGATATTAGTCTGTGTTGTATATGTTGTGGTATTTTGTATAGTCATTTCTTCAAATATTGTGTAAGTTATCTTTTGTTTACATATCAAAATTTTTAATTTTTATGTATTGAGACATTGTTCCTTTTGTGGGTTTTGTTATAGTTAAAACAACCTTCCCCATTTCACAATTACAAAAATATTCAATCATTTAGAACTTCTGTAATTTTTTCCCTAGGTTTAGACCTAACTGGATTTTATTTGTGTGTGAAGTATATATATCTAACTTGATTTTCCCCCAATACAAAACCAGTTGACTTAATAGCATGTGGTAAACTATAGTACAGTCTTTTCTTGAAATGCTGCCATTTTCATATAATAAATTTCCACAAATATATAGGTCTGTATCTTAAATGCCTTTTCAATTTCTTTGATCAGTTTGTCTGTTCCTGTTGAAAAAGTGACGTTTCTTTCTAGTACGGCTTTACCAGGAGGTGTTCTTTTTCAGCAGTAAAATAAAAAAATCCTTATTAAAGATCTACGAAGATGGTCCTTTTTTTTTTCCCTTTTTTTAAATACAGTCTCACTCTTTTGCCCGGGCTAGAGTGAGTGCCGTGGCGTTAGCCTAGCTCACAGCAACCTCAAACTCCTGGGCTCAAGCGATCCTACTGCCTCAGCCTCCCGAGTAGCTGGGACTACAGGCATGCGCCACCATGCCCGGCTAATTTTTTCTATATATTTTTAGTTGTCCGATTAATTTCTTTGTATTTTTAGTAGAGATGGGGTCTCGCTCTTGCTCAGGCTGGAAGATGGTCCTTTTTTTCTAACATTTCTTTGAGATTCTCTATAATCTGGAACCTTCACAACAGTGTTGGAAAGTGGTGGAAATTATTGAGATATTTGTTTTACCCCTGAATTTAATGGGATCGTATTTAACTTTAATTAAATATGATGATTGGTATGGTTTTCTATGGATACAGTATATTAGATTATGGAAATTTCCTTCTGTTCATATTTAGCTAAATTCTGATCAGGAATAGGTATTGAAATTTATCTGATATACTTCAGTGTCTTTAGAAATTATTATGTCTGGCTTTTCATTTATCCATTAAACATTTGAGAACTAAATTTTGCTTGGCCATTGTACATTATGATACCACTAGATTCAGTGGGCTAATATTTTAGTTAAGATTGTGGCATTCATTTTTTTTTTTTTTTTTTGACAGAGTCTTGCTTTTGTTGCCCAGGCTAGAGTGAGTGCCATGGCGTCAGCCTAGCTCACAGCAACCTCAAACTCCTGGGCTCAAGCGATCCTCCTGCCTCAGCCTCCCGAGTAGCTGGGACTACAGGCATGCGCCACCATGCCCGGCTAATTTTTTCTATATATTTTTAGTTGTCCGATTAATTTCTTTGTATTTTTAGTAGAGATGGGGTCTCACTCTTGCTCTGGCTGGTTTCTAACTCCAGAGCTCAAGCAATCCTCCCACCTTGGCCTCCCAGAGTACTAGGATTACAGGTGTAAGCCACTGTGCCCAGCCTACTATTTTATTCTTATGTCTATTATGAACTTTTTAGTGTTTGCTGCACTAAAGAAGAGCATAAGAATTCTACTAATAGAAATCAGAAGATTATATCTATTGAATTTCTAACTTGAATTGCAGGGGGATATGGTTAAGCTAGAATGAAAGTTCTGTTAAAACCACCATTTCAAACTGCATTCCCAGTAGTTAGGGATTTAGATTCACTCTGATTACCTTCTTTGATTATATTGCAATTATTATTTTCTACCCATAGTAGCCATGGTACTTCAGAAAATGTGACCAATACATGCCCAGTCCCTCTTAGTGCTCCCTCCCCTAAAAACTATATTGTCCTAATAGTTCTTTGCTGTTATACAATTAACTTGTCTTGGTTGTATAATATCATATCCACAGCTATCCTTTTGAAACTGTATTATCATTACCATTGCTTTAATTTGGGAAAGCTTTTCAAGACTTGTCTTAATTTCTTTCAAAATCTGATTTATGGTCTTTTTGTACTATTTTTATAATTTAGAAGCTCCTTATTTGTCAATGTCAAGAATAAAGCCTTGGGGGCAAGGGCAACATATGTAACCTAAACATCTGTACCCCCATAATATGCTGAAATAAAAAAAGAAAAAAAAAGAATAAAGCCTTTGTTTTATTCCTCCCTGCCTTTTAAAAGGTGTACAATTTATTTCATTTATGTCATTCTTTCCCTTAATGAATTAAACAAAGATATTTCCATTTTCAGCAATTGGAATTAACTATAGTTTCATTTTCCTTTCTCTCAGAATTGTTTTCTTAACTTTTTACTGTTGTCTCTAAAAAAATGAGATACCATTTGATTTTTTTTATAGCAAAACAAAGTTTAGGAAGCCTTAAAAGATAGTCCATTTGTGTGAAGAGTTTCCCCATAGCAGGTCTAAGCATAGATTGTGTTTCAGTTAGTACTGTTCTTATACAGTAGACAAGGATTTCTGACTAAATTGAATTTTTATTAAATTTGTTAATTTTCATGAATCTTTTATTTAGTGCTTCTGTAGTATTTGCTCAGGTTTTTTCTTTTTGTTACTCTTGTTATACAGATTCTAAAATCCTCAATGTCATTTATCCTTTTTATTTTTGTCTCTTTGTCTTACAGCTGTGTGTATTCTTAGGAAAAATTCCTTTAAATTCTGTTTGACAGTACCATTTTGTCATTCTCAGGCTTTATACTTTATTTTCAAATTGCTCATTTTCCATGAACTTTTCTCATGTTATTAATATCTTATCATCTCACTAAGAATACTTTAGTTTTTTGTTTTTTTAATCTCCTGTTTTTCTATGTTTTATTTGTTTCTCAGGGCACTACTTCCTTAGATTGCTCTACTTGATTACTAATTCCCTTTTTAATTTTAGAGAAGTTTTTCTTCAGTTGTCAACTTGTATTGATAAATCTAAATTGTTCTGACTTGGTGTTTGGTTGAATGCCTCCTCTGTAATTGCAGAGGTCACTTTTTATTTTCCTTTGGTACAGCTCCCTGTGAACATAGTATAGCAATAATTAGGTTAGCCTCTCTCCCCATCCCTGACACTGTTGTGGACATGGTTAATCCAGCTGTAGGATCATTGGGTGATTATAAGAGAGAGAGGAGGGGATGGTAGGTAAGACCTCCTATATAGTGTGTTGTGGTTAGGGGTTTCTCCATGGGTATTACCTCCGTAGTAATGTTTGGGGAATGTGCTCTTCTCGATGCTGTAGGGAGCAGGTCCACAGAGTCCCTCCATCCTGAATTTATAGGCAAGTCAGCATTCTCTCTTCCGTTATTCTTATCTTGAACAGCTTCAGGTCTGTGGGTGGTTTCTCTCTCTAGTGGCTAAATAGTAGTTTTTCCTTTTATTTTGGTTGAGTAAGTTGTGGCAAACACTGATGTGCCATGCACATTTTCCTTCAGTGAAAGACTTGTTTCCCCATTGCTAAGAGCACTGTTAGTAGACAACCTTCAGCTGCCAGCTGCTTCAGGGATTGCTTCAGCTGCAGAGAGCTGCCTTTCCCAGGGTCTTGCCCCTTCCCAGTATGGCCCGTATCCAATAACTGATTGATATGGGAAGTATAAAGGTTTGGCCATCTTGGACCAATTGGAGACTGTTCTAAAGGATCGTTTTAGTTCCAGAGCTCCCTAATGGCTTTTGGCAGAGATATCCTTGGGCTGTATCATAGTTTGATTTTTTCTTCTGCTCACTCCTACTTCCTTCTCACTTCCACAGGTGCTGATTCCCAGGGCACTTTTTTTTTATTGATACATAATGTACATATCTTCAGGGTACATGTGATATTTTAATACATTGATATAATGTGTAAAGATCAAATTAGGGTAATTGGTATATTCATCCCCTAATATTTATCTTTTCTTTGTGCTAGGAACATTCAGATTATTCTCTTCTAGATATTTTGAAATGTACAATAGATTATTATTAACTATAGTCATTCTACTGATCTATTGAACACTAGGTCTTATTTCTTCTATCTAACTATATATTTGTACCCATTAATCAACCTCTCTTCATCCATGCTCTCCTTCTCAGCCTCTGGTAACCACCAGTCTACTCTGTGTCTTCATGAGATCCACTTTTTTAGTTTCCAGATATGAGTAAGAGCATGCAATACTTGTCTTTCAAGGACACTTCTTAAATATTGTGCATGCTAAACTTCATCTCAGAGCCTGCTTTCTAGGTAACCTAGCTCAGAAGAAAAGTAAGAGATTTAAGGCATTAAGTATGCATGCTTAGGTTACCATTTTATTCTTTTTTTTTTCTTTCTTTCTTTTTTTCTGAGACAGAGTCATGCTCTGTCCCGTTGGAGGGAGTACAGTGGCGTCATCATAACTCACTGCAACCTCAAACTTCTGAGCTCAAGCGATCCTCCTGCCTCAGCCTCCCAAGTAGCTAGGATTACAGGCATGCACCATGACGCCTGGCTAATTTTCTATTTTCAGTAGAGATGGGGTCTCACTCTTGCTCTGGCTGGTTTCTAACTCCAGAGCTCAAGCAATCCTCCCACCTTGGCCTCCCAGAGTACTAGGATTACAGGTGTAAGCCACTGTGCCCAGCCTACTATTTTATTCTTATGTCTATTATGAACTTTTTAGTGTTTGCTGCACTAAAGAAGAGCATAAGAATTCTACTAATAGAAATCAGAAGATTATATCTATTGAATTTCTACTTGAATTGCAGGGGGATATGGTTAAGCTAGAATGAAAGTTCTGTTAAAACCACCATTTCAAACTGCATTCCCAGTAGTTAGGGATTTAGATTCACTCTGATTACCTTCTTTGATTATATTGCAATTATTATTTTCTACCCATAGTAGCCATGGTACTTCAGAAAATGTGACCAATACATGCCCAGTCCCTCTTAGTGCTCCCTCCCCTAAAAACTATATTGTCCTAATAGTTCTTTGCTGTTATACAATTAACTTGTCTTGGTTGTATAATATCATATCCACAGCTATCCTTTTGAAACTGTGTTATCATTACCATTGCTTTAATTTGGGAAAGCTTTTCAAGACTTGTCTTAATTTCTTTCAAAATCTGATTTATGGTCTTTTTGTACTATCATAATATAACTAAATACTTGAATATAAGGCAAATAGACTACATGCAGTACACAGCATTTTTAAACCATTTCTAAAACATCTTTTTCAGCATACTCATGTACCCAGACTTATACCTTTAATAACAAGCAACTGTACATCAAAATCAGTTCCCGTGAGGAGGTAAGTTTTTGAAAAAAATTTTTTAATATAGCTCTGATATTGCTTTATGTTTAATTCTTAGTCCGGTGCAAAAATTGGTTATCATTACTTTCTTGCCTTCCCAAAAACCATAATAAAATTCTTTTTTTTTTTTTTTTGAGACAGAGTCTGGCTCTGTTGCCCTGGCTAGAGTGCCGTAGCATCAGCCCAGCTCACAGCAACCTCAAACTCCTGGGCTCAAGCGATCCTCCTGCCTCAGCCTCCCGAGTAGCTGGGACTACAGGCATGCGCTACCATGCCCAGCTAATTTTTTCTATATATATATATATTTTTAATTGTCCAGATAATTTCTTTCTGTTTTTAGTAGAGACAGGGTCTCGCTCTTGTTCAGGCTGGTCTCAAACTCCTGATCTTGAGCGATCCACCCGGCTTGGCCTCCCAGAAGGCTAGGATTACAGGCGTGAGCCACCACGCCCGGCCCATAATAAAATTTTTTTTGTATCTCATGTAAGGGAGAAGGGATGAAGCAATTATTATGACCACACACATTTCTCAGTTTTATCATATTAAACTTGGTTTATTTGGACTGGTGGTTGCCTCGGTTTTCAGAGAGCATGGAATCTAGAGTCAGTCCTGGGCTCCGGTCCTACAACTGCCATTGACTATATCCTACCTCAGGCAGTTGTTTATCTGCTCTGAACCTTAGTGCCTACATATATTATCGGGCTAATAATATGGTCAACCCATAGAACGTGAGGATTAAATGAGGTACATGTTAGTAGAACTTAGCCTAGGGTTTGGAAACAGAGTAAATAGCCATATCAGGTGTGTCATTCACTGCCTATGTCTCTCTATATATCTCCCTCTCTGTGTCTGTCTGTCTCTCTCTTGTTTCTATAATTTTTAACATCACCACTGTCAACCTACGTAATGGCTCTCTAAAACAAAATGATATTTATGCAGGAATGGGCATTGCAATGGGAAGACACATAACATAGTGAACTGTATGTGTATTCAGGAAAGTAAAGGAAGACAAAAGTTTTTAGAGGCAAAATGAGGAGGATTACATAATTGTTATGAGATAATTATCCTGGGCTATAAGAATCACTAACAAAGATGATGTCAGTTTGAGATTTGGCAGGCAGTTGCTGGATAGAATATCCTGGCAGAATTATTTTTTGTGTAAGGTTGTGATGGCCATTGTGCATGGTTGTGGTTTTTGCTAAGTCTTTTGTGATAGCTCTTGTTATCAGTCATTTATGCATAAGAACCCTCCCTTATGGCCTTCCTCAGCTCTGCTTGTCAGGGTTGTTTATTTGTTTTGCTTTGTTGTTTTTTTTTTTTAAAACATAAGTGACTTTATTTTGATCCTAACAACTTTCACACCACTATCACCATCAATAATAAAGACAGGAAAACATGATTTGTGCATTTTATGTTTAAGAAAATTATAAAGAACTCTTTACCTCTTTTATTTGATAAGTATATATATTTAAATATTTTGAATGTTAGGAAGAAGCTGAATAAGGCTTTGTTTTTTTAAGTGGTTCAATGTTTTAAAAACAGTTGTTCAATTACCTCTCTCTTACGTCAGGGGTCAGCAAACAACAGTTTACAGGTAAAGTCTGGCCAATAGTCTGGTTTGGTATAGCTCATAAGCTAAGAGTTTTTTACATTTTTAAAGGGTGGCGATTAGAAAGGGAAAGGGGAGAAGAAAAATATGAGACAGAGAATGTACTTAGTACACAAAGCCTAAAGTTATGCCACATGCTGCAGAGCATCAGGCCACTGAAGCCAGAACATATGATAAATGGAAGGTTTCCATGGGAAAAGAGGCTGGTTAGAGCCTAGGGGGTAGACTGAGGTCATAGTTTGAAGAGCTTTGGATGTTGTGAAGAGGAATTTTGACATTGTTTCGTAGGTGGTAGGAGTCTTAGACAGTTGTAGATTTTTGGTGAGGCAGTATTGTCCCAGCCTAGTTTTTATTCTGGCTATGAAGTGATTAAAAAGGAACCATGAGAAACATTGGTTTAATTAAGTAGGAGCTGTTAGAATTCATGTAAGAGAGACTCAGGGTTTAAGCTAAAGCTGTGTTGATGATGATTGATTGAAAGAGTTTTATTTAGTAAACAAAATCAAAATATATTTCATGTGTAGAAATGAAACTTGATAATTGGTTATGGATGAAGGAGGTGGTGTCAAGCACTTCAGGCTGTGAACTCTGGAGTCAGAATGCCAGGGTTTAAGTCCCTGCTCTGTCTCTTTAGGCAAGTTTATTTAACCTCCTTGTTTCTCATTTCTAATCTGTATGATATGGGCTAAAAGAGTAGATTTAAGAAGATAAGAATTTATTCTTTTGTATGTAGTGTTTGAGTTGACATTTACTGCCTACATAGAGATGTCCGTAAGCTGGTTGGAACTTTGACTAAATAGCTGAGATGAAGAACCAGTGCTGGAGATATAGGACTACATATGAGAATTATATTTAATAGGCACACCTAAGGGTACAGAGGATGTTGCCCAAATAAAAAGACTATAAAAGAGAATGGGCTAAGATTGGCACCAACCAGGTAAGTACCTGTTTAAGGGTAGGTGGAGAAAAAATGTTAATAAAGGAAGAAAAACAGGACAGAGCTGTGTCATCAAATGCCAAGGAAGAAGAGGAGCTCAAGAATGAGACAGCTGAAGAAATGAGAACTAGAAGGCTTAGGAGAAAATGTACATAAACTTGATTTAAAATCATATGTATACATATTTGAGGAAACAAAATGTAAAAATGACAGCTCCAGATTATTGTGTCTTTCTTGGTCACCATTGAATATCTTCAATGTCTAGTGCATAGTAGAAGTTTAATAACTATTTTTTTAAATTAACAAATGAAACTTGTTAAATTTCATATTTGACAGACATTTTATTAATAAGTTAAAATCATGGGGAACTCTTAAGGTCTTTTTGAACTATTTAGCATAGGAATAGTTGGACCCTTATAGTAAGTTAGGTATTCCATAGTTATAAAAACATGTCTTATGGTTTAATTCAGGGGGCAAAGTACAATATTATAAAAGACAGTGTTAATATATTTTTCAATACAACATTTGGTTGTAATTTAACTTTTATTTTCCAGGCGTTCATTTGAATTTTTAGATTTGTTGTTACAAGAGTGGCAGACTCATTCATTGGAAAGGTATGCATTGCCTCTTCCTCCCACCTCCCTCCCCATTGCCACCAGTTCTTTAGAAGAAGGTGATGGTATTGCTTTTGCATTATTTCTCACTTTGCTTTAAAAGTTATTTGTACTGGTTTTTCTTTAAAACTATAGTGTTGTGTCCCTCTTACTCATTGCAGCTATGGATGGTATGATTTTCTTCTTTGTGGGATGGGTCTTAAGTAAAGTGGGTTAGCTAAGATACTCCAAGTTAAACTGGGCAAAAATTTAAAAATACACCTCTGGTCATGTGAGATAAGTTTACCGAGGTATAATCAATCAATCAGTGAGGGAGGAGCTTCCTTTCAGAGGAAAGATAAAACAAAGAGATATTTGCTAGAAAGTTTCTCCACACCAGCTGTCAGGTATCATTGGTCAGGTATATTCTAGGCAATATCTGATGTAACTCTGAGATGAACAAGAGGAAAATGTCAGCAGCTGGTTGGTCACTGGCTATTTGCACAGCTATATTTCTCATTAGTTTCCAATTTGAGGCTTGGGAGATCCTTGAATTTATATTAAGTATGGTGCTGATTTCTCATTTTCATGGAAATTCTTAAATCTGTTCACAGACTTTTTTTTTTTTTTTTTAATAAGAGACAGGGTCTCTGTTGTCCAGGCTGGAATACAATAGCATGACCATAGCTCTCTGCAGCCATGAACATCTGGGCTTAAGCGATCCTCTTGCCTCAGCCTCCAGAGTAGCTGGGACTACAGGCATGCACTATTGCATTTGGCTAATTTTTTATTTTATTTTTTATAGAGATGGGGTCTCACTGTGTTGCCCAGGCTGGTGTTGAACTCCTGGCCTTAAGTGATCCTCACACCTCAACCTCCCAAAGTGCTAGTATTACTGGTGTGAGCCACTGCACCTGGCCCACAGCTTATTTTTAGAAAATAGAATTTGTTGTTTAATATAAACATAATATAATTTGAAGTTTTCTTTAAGTTCTTTTGTGGCTGCTACTGTTGAGTTTGGTCCAATCATAACTGTTCATACTCCTAGCAGATCATTTTCTACAATGGTAGGTTAATAAGAAACCATGCAGGTTTTTTTCCCCCCTCTAATTCATTACAAATTAAAAATTTAGGTACTATCTATTTATATATTATTTGAATTCCATATAAAAATAATTATTTTCTGATTTATGGTGATTGGATTGTCAGAAGGAAACCATACATGGATGAAATAAATAGGGAAGATAATTAGAAAAATCTTATGGCCTTATATTTATTATTGTGCACTAATTAATTTTTTTACCTCTCTTACCCCTTGTGATTGATGTATACCATATAGGCAGTAAGTATCATTTGTGGTGAAATACACAGCTTTATACATGAATATAAAAATGTATTTATTTTATAGACATGCAGCCGTCTTGGTTGAAACTATTAAGAAGGGAATTCATGACGCTGATGCTGAGGCCAGAGTGGAGGCAAGAAAGTAAGTCTGTGGTATATTTTTGTGACAGTTTAAACTGTCTTTTTTTTAAGAAAAAAAAAAAAAGGAATTGTACTAGGTGAATGAAAATATCAGAGGTGCCTAAGTATTCTACTGGACTATCCCTTCAGTAACATTTAGATTGATTTTCTCCATTAAGTCTGTACTAGATGTCTAGCAGCCTGCTTTACATCGTCATTTATGTAATGATCAGTATTCCTATTTCATCATAACCTATTCACTCTCATTAGGAATAAAAGGAACCATCATTTATCAAGCATGTATTGTGTACTTGACACTATATGAAACACTCGGTGTATGTTATTTTCTAATCCTTAAAATAATCCTGCAAAGACAGTATTAACTCCATAGATGGCAACCGAAGTTTGGACATTTGGGGGTTCATCCAAGCCACATAAATCGTAAGTGGCATAGCCAGGTTTTGAACTGAGATCTGCTTTTCTCAAAAGCCTCCAGTCTTTCCACTAGAACTTGTTAAACTTAGACCATATTCACCTGACACATAGCAGATGTATTAAAAACCTGCGAGCTCATCTTCATCCTTCCTGAATGTACACATTTTACAGTTAACTTCTAATTATGTAAAGCTATTACTTTATGGGCTTTCTCTTTTTCCTTTCTTTTACAGGACATATATGGGTCTTAGAAACCACTTTCCTGGTGAAGCTGAAACATTATATAATTCCCTTGAGCCATCTTATCAGAAGAGTCTTCAAACGTACTTAAAGAGTTCTGGCAGTGTAGCATCTCTTCCACAATCAGACAGGTCCTCATCTAGCTCACAAGAAAGTCTCAAGTAAGGTCATGTAAATGATAATTACTGGTCTCTTCCTCTCCTCAACTCCCCAGAATTCCTTAAGTTGGATAGTTGAATATCTGCTTGCTTTCACCTAAGGCTCTGAAAGCATGGTGACTCAAATATACTTATTTTTTTGGTCAGTTGTTTCAAGGGTTGGATTACCTGCCAGCATAACTTCTTCTCTTTAGATACTGAGTTTAGTGATTCATATTTTGTTTCTGTATTTTCATGCCTGTAAAAGTCTGGGAAGCACTTATTTTTATACATTTTTTTAATACCACAAAAATAGTTTATACAGTAAGTATCCCATTTCCAGGACATTGTAATGGAGGAATTGTAATAGAAATTCAGAAGTCACCTTCAGAGTTTTTATACAACACTGTGACTGGTAAAAACTCCAGTGCTTCCCTTTCTACCCTCTTTCCCAGCTTAAGAATTCTGGAAATCCCTCAAGGGACAACATGATGGTATCTGACTGATTTATCTGTAACTTCATTCTCATCATGGTGTTGGCTACCTCAAATCCTTGTTGCTTTGGCAGCCATAGCCCTATTTTCTGTCTCTCTGGCTCCATGAGATTGCTAAAATCTCCAATGCCTTTTTTGCTTCCTAATAGTGGCCTTCTGTCCATCTTCAAGGCCTCTTGTCCTATACCAAGTATCTGCAGATTTCCTCAGGGGAGAACAGCTCACAGAATGTCAGCTTACCTCTCCATAATTTTTTTCTTTTTGGGACCTTGACCCCCACAAAGATTGCTGGATGCCTTGGCAACTCTGATGCAGGACTGGGACTAGAGTGAGGCAAGTGCAGCACCTAGGGCACAAAATTTAGGGAGGTGCTCACAGGGTCACTTGAATACTGTATTGAAGTTCAGTTTCTTATAAGTTTTCAGAATGAAAGAGGATAGGATCTGATTTCAAAAATAATTATTGTACGAATAATGACCTATCTAAACTTCTATTTAAATTCTATTTAAACTTCTATATAAATTTTCGATAAATCCTTCATCTCAAATGAACTATCTTTGCTGCTTTTGCTCCCCTTTTATTTGCTATGCTCAAACTTTAAAGTGTATATGAATCACCTGAATATCTTGTTAAAATGCAGAATCTGATTTAATAGTTCTGGGGTGGGGCCTGAGATTTTGCATTTTTTGCAAGCTCCTAGGTGATATTAATGCTGTTTGTCTATGGACCATACTTTGAGTAGCAAGGATCTAAACAAGATATTTTTTTCTAGTATAACATCTTTAAACATAAACAACTTTAGAGTCTGTGAACATTTAAGTGGTCTGTCTCCATCTAAGATGATGACAACTTTAGGGGACAGTTATAAAAATAATATAATGTTGGGCTTAATAACCAGTCTCAAATTTACCACTTGGTAACATAACTTAAAGAATATTTTTCAATAGCCTGGCATTTATCCTGTTTGTGGTTTTTGCTTCTCTCTTCCTCCCACTTTTAAAACTTATACTTTCCAGAATCCCATTACATACTTAGATGTTTTATTTATCAGTGGGCTGCAGAATACCATTGTAATTATAGATAAATAATCAAAAAAGATGTTAAGGGAGATAGTAGGTTCTTGAGATGATGAGAGATGTTTGGCCGACATCATTCTCTAACTATATATGTTATCCTCAGCAGTAGTTCTTAGCCTCGTTTCTGTTATACCACAGCACTGTGTGTAGGGAATGTGATACCTGTGTGATAACTGCATGAATTGTTGATGACCATAACCGTTATGACTTAGGTTAGAGAGGCTTTGGTTATGCTGTTACCTCTGTGCTTATAATAATACTATCTTTTTCTCCTTCTAAGTTAAAATATCTCAGGATACAAGTAAATGGTAGTGCTGTTATTAAGTCCTCTTTGGTGGGCACCATGGTGTGTGCTGAGGACGAGAGTGACAAAAGCAACCTGATCCCTGTTTCTGTAGAACTTGCAGTCTTCTTTCATTGTCAGTTATTTTATTTTTGCTTCATAGCTAATTGAGACACCATTCATATGTGATGACATGTGTTTGAGAACAACTGTTCTAAAGTGATTTGTAAAAGGAAAGTTAAAATTAGAAGTATTTCTCAACTTTTCACAAAACCCTGTAGTATTTTATTAGTTGTTATCAGAGGAATGGTAAATTAAGTCCTCTTACTAAAAGCATTTCTCTTTACTTTTCAGTCGCCCTTTTTCTTCCAAATGGTCTACGGCAAATCCATCAACTGTGGCTGGAAGAGGTAATTGCCTTTTTAAATAAGAGTTATAGCCTATTTTATCTCTAAGGTAGTAGCCTTTAAATTGTTCTGATGTGCTCCACAGTGAGAAAATCATTTTACCTGGTAACTCAATACCATACATACACACTGTACCTGTGTATGTATACATGTTTGCATATATAGTATAAACCAAAGTTCCATGAAGCAGTACTTACTCTTACTGTGGTGGAATCTGTTTTCTATTCTGTTTCATTTCTTTAAGATGCTGCTTATGACCCATTCAAGTGATCTTACAACCTATTAATGGATCATGACTCAAAATTTATATAACTCCTCCTTTTTAAAACTGAAAAACTAAAGACCAGAAATTTAATGATTTAATTTACATTGTATAAGGGAGGCAGAACCTACATTAATTTCTGAAGGAATATCCCTACTTATAGACTAGTTTTTCTTGCATTTTTCTGATAGTAAAAAATAATACCACTCCCTTCTATTCATCTTATCAGTGCTTCCTTTTCATAAATCAGTCATAAACATCATCTTTTCATCTACAAAATAGTCCTGTGAATTTTGTAGCCAAAATGTCATTTTTTCCATTTTATGGAAGAGGGAAATGAGGCAGAGGAATATTGAGAAAATTGCTCAAGAAGACTTAGTTGTGCCAGGATTGGAACTGAGGCATTTTGACTTTAAAATATTTTATGGTACTGTCCTACCCAGCATTTTCACTACTGGATACCTACCTGAAGGAAAACAAGGTATTTTATCAAAAAGACAGCTGCACTTCAATGTTTATTACAGCACAACTCACAATTGCAAAGATGTGGAATCTTTTCCCATCAGTTCATGAGTGGATTCAGAAAATGTGGGGTACTACTCAACTATAAAAAAGAAATGAAATAAATAATGTCTTTTGCAGAACTGGAGACTATTGTCCTAAGTGAAGTATCTCAGGAACGGAAAAACAAATACCACGTTTTCTCTCTAATAATTGGGAGCTAATCGATGGGCACACATGGGCACAAAGAGGTGTAAAGGTCTTTGGAAATCAAGAAGGGAAATGGGTGGGGAGGAGATAGGGAAGGGTAAAAACCTACCTATCGGGTACAGTGAACACTATTCAGGTGATGGGTACATTAAAAGCCCCAATTTAAGCATTATAAAAGGTATCCGGGTAACAAAAACATTTGTACTCCCTTAATAGTTTGAAACTAAAAAAAAAAATACTTCATAGTATCATCCATTTGGCCACTGCCTCCTGGTTGACCATTTGTCTTTATGGATTAGTTTATGATGGTGAAGTTTATATACTTTTCATACTGTGTGCAGTGATTTAAATAATATAGATTACCTTTGCTTTGTCTTCCATAGTATCAGCAGGCAGCAGCAAAGCCAGTTCCCTTCCAGGAAGCCTGCAGCGTTCACGAAGTGACATTGATGTGAATGCTGCTGCTGGTGCCAAGGCGCATCATGCTGCTGGACAGTCTGTGCGAAGTGGACGGTTAGGTGCAGGTGCCCTGAATCCAGGTTCCTATGCATCACTAGGTAAGACAACTAGTTATGGGAAATTGTACAGTGTTCTCTCCCCAGTCTCAGTGAAAACAAGTTGATATATCTTAACCATTTCTGTTTCATTCTTGCAAGTTAAGGATAGTCCATGTGTTTTAGTGTTTTAATGTGATTCTATACTGAGGACACAATTTTGAGGTATCTGAACTGCCTTGTTTCCACTTTTCCCCTTGTCCTTTTCATCACCTTGATCAAAGAAACAATTCTTGACTCCATGATTGCCTGTAGAATTTTCATAACTACACTTCTGCCACATTCTGCCACTGGTTACTAAGGGAAATTGTGAAGGGCATTGGTCTTGTATCTGGCGTCCCTGTTCTCTTTCTCCTACTTCTGTTCTTACCAAGAATTTAAAGCCTTCTGGGAATCTGGGAGAACTGCAAAACTCTTCTCTGTCTAATCAAAGCTTAATTATATATTCCAAAGCTATTCAGAGCTTGGTGTTTTTATGTACATCAAATTAAAAGTTTGAGGCTGGTTATCCATAGTGTTTATCTCTATTTCATGTTTCATTTTTTTTTTCTCTTAGCTAGTACTAGTGGAACACTAAGCAGGCAAATCATTTGAATACAATACAGGTTGAGCATTCCTAATCCAAAAATCAGAAATCTGAAATGCTCCAAAATGCAAAACTTTTTGAGTGCTGATATGACACTCAAAGAAAATGATCATTGGAGCATTTTGTATTTCAGATTTTCAGATTAGGGATATTTAGTCAGTAAGTATAAATGCAAATATTTCAAAATCCAAAAAAACCTGAAATTCAAACCAGTCTGGCCCTAAGCATTTCAGATAAGGAATGCTCTACTTATAGAAAGTGCAGAGATTATGGGTATGAATGTAGTCTGTGATACAGTTGGCATAGCTACATTCGTAACCACAAGAAAAGGACAAATTATTCAGTAAATGATGTTCAGACACATGGTTGACAATTTGGTATAAAATTAAGTTAGAATCATGTTATACACCATATAAAATATATTCTAGATAACTAAAATATTAATAGCATAAAGCAACTTGATGAAAACATGGGTAAATATTCATCTGTTCTCAGGTTGGGGCAGGAATTTCTAAATATAAAAGCTATGAAGGAAAAGTCTCTTGAATTTAAATTTAAAATGTGAAAATATGAAATTAAGTGACCAAAACTAAAAGGGAAAAAGCTTTTGCCACATAATACCAAAAATATTAAAATGTCAAGAAGTTTTTTAAGCCTATGAGAAAAAGCTGAGCTTATTTTTATAGAAAAATTTCTATATATATCAAGAAAAGCATGTATCAAAATTGCCAACAAACACCAGAATAAATGTTGAGCCTTAATTGTAATCAAACAAATGCAAATTGAAAGGCCTGTAAATGCAACAAGAAAGTTAAGGTTGCTGCCCACTATTGTCAAGAATGTGGTAAAAGGGGCTTTATCAAGCAAGGCAGATGTGAATTAAAGATGGGATGCTTTTCCTGAGTGGCGATTTAGTAATGCCCATGAAACATATTTAAATGATCAGAATTTTTGATCCAGTAATCCAATGTTTAAGTAATTATATGAAGAAATAAAAACAATACTCATTGTGTTTTTAATAACAGATGTTATTAGAGTCAATCTTAATGTGCGATAGAGGGAATAATTAAGCCCTATTATAGTCTTAGATATACTGTGCAGCCATTAATAAGTTGTATTTTCAACAAAGTTCAAATGATACAAACTACCAAAGAATGTATGGTAATTTCATGATTTTGTATAAGATTATACATAGATGGAGGACTGGAATGATACAGTGGATTGATTACTGCTTTTAACTTTCAGAAAATTTTCTGTTTAGAAACATTACATTTCCAGGAATTTCAATATATGGAAACCAGTCAACATAATGCACTGTATTAATAGAATAAAGGACAAAACCCACATGATCATCTTAGTAGCTGCAGAAAAAGCATTTGACAAAATTCAACACCCTTCTATGATAAAAATACTTAACAAACTAGGAATAAAAGGGATCTTTCTCAACCTGATAAAAAGCATCTTTGAAAAACCCACAGCTAAACTTGATGATGAAAAACTAGATACTTTGCTCTAAGATCAATACCAAGATAAGGATATCTGCTCTTACCCTTTCCCTTCAGCATTATCATAGAAGTCTTAGGGCAATTATGCAAGAAAAAGAAATAGAAGGTACCCAGATTGGAAAGGAAGAAGAAAAGCTATCTTTATTTGCAAAAAAAAATGACCTTGTATGTAGAAAATCCTAAGAAATTCACAAAAAAACCCCCAAAATATTAGACCTAATCAACAAGTTTAGCAAGGTTACAGGATACAAGATCAGTATCAATTGTATTTCTACATACTAACAATGAACAATCCAAAAATGAAATTAAGAAAACGATTACAAGTACAGTAGAATAAAATACTTAGGAATAAATAGAACAAAAGAAGTGTAAGACTTGTACACTGAAAACTACAACACGTTGTTAAGAGAAATTAAAGACCTAAATAAATAGAAAGACATCCCAGGTTCATAGATTTAAAGAGTTACTATAGTTAGAATGGGAATTTGATGTATAGATTCAGTTCAATCCATATCCAGTTGCTTTTTATAGAAATTGACAAGCTGATCCTAAAATTCATATGAAAAGTCAAGGGATCCATAATAGCTGAAACAATTTCAAAACTTCAAATCTACAGTGATCAAGTCTTTGTGGTACTGGTATAAGGGTAGATATATAGACCAATGGAATAGAATTGAGAGTTCAGAAATAAATGCATTCATTTCTAGTCAATTGATTTCCAACAAGGGTACCAAGACTATTCAGTGGGGAGAGAATTGTCTTTTCAACAAATAGTATTGAAATTACTGGATGCAAAAGAATTAATTTAGACTCCTATCTCATAAACTCAAAATGAATTGAAGACCTAAATGTAAGAGCTAAAACTGTAACAGTTTTAAAAGAAAACGTGAGGCTGGGCGCGGTGGCTCATGCCTGTAATCCTAGCTCTCTGGGAGGCCGAGGCGGGCGGATTGTTTGAGCTCAGGAGTTCGAGACCAGCCTGAGCAAGAGCGAGACCCTGTCTCTACTAAAAATAGAAAGAAATTAATTGGACAACTAAAAATATATAGAAAAAACTAGCCGGGCATGGTGGCGCATGCCTGTAGTCCCAGCTACTCGGGAGGCTGAGGCAGAAGGATTGCTTGAGCCCAGGAGTTTGAGGTTGCTGTGAGCTAGGATGATGCCACGGCACTCTAGCCCGGGCAACACAGTGAGACTCTGTCTCAAAAAAAACAGAAAATGTGAGTGTAAATCTTAGTGACCTTAGACAGTAGTTTCTTAGATAGGACACCAAACACACAAGCAGCCCACCCCACCCCCCAAAAAAAGATAGATTGGATAAATTCATTAAAATGTAAAACTTTTGTGCTTAACGGATCCCATCAAGAAAATGAAAAGAGGCTGGGTGTGGTGATTTATACCTGTAATCCTAGCACTTTGGGAGGCTGAGGCAGGAGAATCACCTGAGGCCAGGAGTTTGAGACCAGTCTGGGCAATAGCGAGACCCCATCTCTACAAAAACTAAAAAAAAAAAATTAATGGGCCTTAATGGTATATTCCTGTAATCCAGCTACTAGGGAGGCTGAGGCAGAGGATCACTTGAGTCCAGGAGTTTGAGGTTGCTGTGAGCTATAATGATGCTGCTGCACTCTAGCCCAAGCAACAGAGTGAGAACCTGTCTCAGAAAGAAAGAGAAAGAGAGAGGGAGGGAGGGAATATAGAATAAGAGAAAATATTCGCAGATCTTATATCTGATTAGGGACTTCTATCCCAAATATTAGTAATATAAATAACACTTAGAACTCAATAATAAAAAGACAACTCCATTTTTAAAATAGACAAAGGATTTGAATAGATGTTTCTCCAAAGAAGATATACAGATTTCCAGTAAACACATGAAAAGATATTTAACATCATTAGTCATTAGGGAAGTACAAATCAAAAGCACAGTGAGATACCACTTCATGGCCATTGGCATAGCAATAATCAAAAAGACAGACAGCAAGTGCTGGTAAGGATGTGGAGAAATTGGAAGCCTCATACACTGCTGGTGGGAATGTAAAATGGGGCAGCCATTTTGGAAACAGTTTGACAATTTCCCAAAAAGTTAAACATAGAGTTACCATATGACCCAACAAATCCATTTCCATCTATATACCCAAAAGATCTGAAAAACATACTCTCACAAAAACGAATGTTCGTAGCAACCTTATTCACAATAGCCAAAAAGTGGAAACAACCCAAATGTCTATCAACTAGTGAGTAGATAATCAAAATGGGGTATGTTCATAGAATGGAATGGAATATTATTCTGCCCTTAAAAAGAATACATTACATAAAAATGCATGCTACAAAATGGATCATCCTTGAAATCATTATGAAGTTAGACACAAACAGCCACATATTGTATGATTCCAGTTATATGTATGAAATGGCTAGAGTAGGCAGAGCCACAGAATTAGAAAATAGTTGTTGCCAGGGACTAGAAGTGGAAGAAATAGGGAGTGACTGCTAATGGGTACAGGATTTCTTTGGGACCTGATGGAAAGGTCCTGGAATTAGATAGTAAGGATTACACAACACTGTGAATAAATTAAAAACACTGAATTGTATACTATAAAAGGGTGAAAATTATGGTTTGTCTGAATTATATCTCAATTTTTTAAAGTGAGAAAAAAACTGAAAAATAATAAAAACTGTTCATCTTGTATCTTAAAAATACATCACATTGAATATCTATTATTTTTATTACCAGAAAAAAAATATTATATTTAAAGTGTTTTAATGTGAACTAGAAAGCCAATGCGCAACATTTTTTATAAGAGAGCCTATAATGGTGCTGTGAGATTGACTTTTTTTTTTTTGGTTCTTCAAGGTTTGAATTGCATGTTTGTTTTGTTATAGAAGTGAGAGGTGAGAAGTCCACCCCCCTACACCCCTTCTCTTTTCTTCATCTGGCCCAGGTTCACACTCAGGAACAATCAGCTACCTGCCTGTGGCTCTTTCCAGGGGTTAAAAGATGTTCTCATTTTCTCCCTTTGTCTTTCTCCCTCCACCCCACCCCATTCCCCTCTCTCTTATGCAGCTTTCTTACATGCATGCGACTGGTATACTGTGTTTTCTCTTACTTTAAGCCTCGTTTATGATGGCTGAACATGTGTGGATCAGAAGGAGTGTCCCATTCTTTTTCAGCAAATGCTTACTTGAGTGCTTAGTTTTTGCCAGGCACCCTGCTGGGGACCAGGGATCCAGAGTATATGCTTCTATACTCAGAGTCTTTCAGTCTGTTGTTAGGTTACTGAGGGATGAGCAGCTGAAAGTTTGATAAGTTTTATCCATTTTGAGTTTGAAGTCCTGTGAGACCTGAAAAGTGTTCCATGGACAGTTGGGTTATAGTGGTGTAGAACTCAGAAGGACCTATGCTGAAGATTAGATTGGAAGTCAGTAGAGAATTACACTTACTGTAATCGGTAGTAAACTCAGTACATTCCTTGAAGCAGTTGCCACTGGTTTTTGTTTTTGTTTTCTTTAAAGTACTGCATCTTTTGGCAGCAGGGATGTTGTGAGTGGTTTGAAGCTTACTCTTTAACTTCAGCCTGAGGAATAAGCTTGCTGTGGTAGGAAACAGGAATTTATGTTAAGGAAACCCTGATGTATAGATACATATGTATGAATGTTTATTCTGACAACTAGGTTTGTGGAATTGCTTGAATGGAAGAGAAATAGTTTCAGTGAGGTCATGTGGACAGAAGTCAGATTTTAGTTGTTTAAGGAAGTTGGAAAGAGAATCTGTATAAATCATTCTTATGTTTAATGGTCAAGAAAAAGGGGTAAACAAGCACTATAGGAATTATCTGTGGTTCAAGGTTCAGGAACTTAATTGTTTTTTATGATTGGAGGAGTTAAATATTTTTGTATAGTAAGGTGATAAGTGAGTAGAGAAGGAAAAATTATAAGTGCAAGGATGAGAAGAGATAATTCATAGCCAAGATCCTATGGAGGCATGAAGAATGGGATATAGAACATCATCAGAGTTGGCCTTGAATGTAGAAGGGTCTCCAGTTTCAGTGAGGTGGAAGGGAAGGAAATGAAGGAGGTGGTAGATTCAGATATGATTATTTTAGGGCTTTGGGCATTAAGAAGAGTATGATGAGGGAGGTTATTGTGACTTTCTCCCCCAGGATTTAGAGTCAGAATCATGTGCTAGGAGGTAAGTTGAGGTTTAGAATAGCCACTAAGGGGACAGAAGAGTGAGGGTACAAGTGGGGCACTCTTTTGGATTTCCCACAACTGCTCACACACTTGAGAACTTGCTAAAAGGACTCACAGGACTCAGAGGCAGCTATACTCATGGCTGAGATTTATTACAGTAAAAGAATACACAGCAGGATCAACAAGGGAAAAAGTCTTACGACGTAGTCTGGAGGAGTCTAAGTAAAGACTTTCAAAGTTCTTTCTCCCATAGATGGGTTTGGGGTACTGCTCCTTCCTCAGCAATGAAATGCAGCAAAGAAACTTGTTCACAGTGTTTTCTGACCAGGGAAGCTTCCTTGAGACTCAGAGTCCAGGGTAGGGACAGGGAACAGAGGAAGTCACATAGGGTCTTTGCTTGCATAACCAGCCACAATTACCAGAATTCCAGACTCTGAAAAAGAAAGAAGGTGTTAACCATCATACTGTTTGCAAAAACAGTTTAGGCAAACTGATGCAGCAGAGTTCGGCGCCTCCAACTCTCCTCCACACGCACTTAAAATAACCTTATCATTACCATGGGGAGCGTCCAAACTAACTTACAGGAGGCCAGACCCATAAGCAGGTGCTTCTTAAGAGCTACGTCAATCCTGCTTGTTAACTCCTCCCTGCACAGACAGGCATTAAAAGTCAAGTCAGATAATTATCCCGGTTTCTAAGTAGTGTCAGTATGCATGACTTCATGGTTGTATAATTTTCTGTATTGGGGCACCTCATGTAGTGGAGTATAGAAAATGAGTTGTTAGATTTATCCAGATGTCAGGTTTTACAGGGCCTGAAAAATTCTAAGAAAGGATGTGGGTGGGGAAGTAACAAGGCAGTAAACAGAGGATAATGAGAGGGAAAGGGTGGAATTTTGGGCTATACTATAGGCTAGAGAGGAAAAGAAGTGAGGCAATGTGACTGAGAGAAACTCAGCAGACCAAAGCAGAGGATTTGCCTGATGGCAACGATCCAAGGTTGGGACATAGGCTTCACAAACTTTTCTGTCTCTAGGATAGTGAAAATCACATTCGTTATTGATTTTTTTTTTTTAATTCTCTACTTAGTACATTAGGCGTAGTCTTTATCTCAGGTAGGAACATCATCTTGTTTAATCTCCTAGTATGTTTCAGTTGAAAACAAGCTTGGTATATATGTTTGTGCTATGAATTCTGTCTTAATTTTTTAAAATGTCTTCTAGGGATTACAAAATCATTTTTTTCTAATATACTAAGTTTTCCTTTGTTCTTTGCTTGCTCTTTCATCAAAGAGGATACTTCTGACAAGATGGATGGTAAGAATTTCCTTTTCTAATTCTACTGAAGAGTTTTATGGATCTTGGATTCTGTATAATATTCTTGTTCATTCTTCTCTTAATTTCTGAAAATATACTGCTTATTTAGCTATAACCTTAATGTGAAAATGGCTATATTTGCATAATTCTCTGATTGAATTTTGGGTTAGGCTTATCTATTTGGTATATCATATCCCAATCTATTCAAATACTAGGTAACTTTGTTGTAACTTAATTACTTTAACATTTTTTCCTGAGCTCTCACAAGTATGCCTGTGAATATTCTCAATTTCTTCCTCTAAAATACTGGATTCAGAAGAATGGAAATAAATCTCATAAATCTCAACTCTTCAATTTACTAACTGATACAGAGAGAGACACATTACATATTTCATAAATTCATACAATTATGAAAATGAAATGCAAGTTACAGATGCTATCTTTAAGAGCAAGTTGTAAGCTAACATTTAATCAAAACTGAACTTAGTTTAAGCTTTGCCTTTTTTATTTCAATATTCAGATAATTACAGTCTATCTGTAATTGCTTGTTTCAGTAAACCCCATGTAATATTTTCTGTCTAATACTAGAGAGCATATTATCCAGACTTTTCCCTTCACTTCATCAGATACCATAATCTTATGAAGCAGTTTGACTTTTTTAAAAGAACTTATTGCAAAATACTGAATCTGTAAGTCGCATCACAAGATCTAGGAAAAATGGAGACATTGTGTATTTTTCTGGAAATTATTATGTAAACTGAAAATCAATATGTCTTCTATTTAATGAAGTGAAACATTTAATAAATCTTGGGTACATGAGTGCTGTTAATAGTTAATAGTTAGTCTCTGCTTTTCTGTATGATTCAAGTATTTCATAAATAAAAAATTGTTGAATGAAATTATAGCCCAACAAGAGATGGTTTCTGTATATCAAACTCTTAGATATCCTTCTAATATTGATATTCTGGATCCTTTAAAAACAAACTTTTATCAGTTTACAGATCAAAAATATTTTCTTATTTGAATCAGAAATATCGATTTGAGGAGTCACTTCTGGTATATGTTGTGTTACTTTTACTGATATTCAATCTTATGTTTAAAAAACGCACACAGAGACATAGTAGTGAGTTATGATGTTTGTATGCAGTCATTTTTGATAGATTTCATCGACATCTTAAGGATTGCACATAAATGTTGAATAAATAGCTGATGAATTGGATTTATAGGTTTTTGGCTTTGATGAAAATAATGGACAAATGCGGCCTAGGTCATGGATTTGATTCCCATGTTTGTCAATTAACTTTTTCTTGTTCTTTTATGGGCTACCTTTTGAAAATGTGCAGAAAGTATTCCTACCATGGAAAGGTCTATAAAAATCTTCATTTGCAAAGAAGAGTAATTACAGAGTTGCATTTTTCTTTGTTCACCATTTTTCACCAAGGTTTAAGAATGAAATATAGCAAATAAAAGTGTTCACTATAGAATTTTGCTATTTTTAATTGTCTAGTTTCAGCTTGTTCTCTGAGTCATTAAGTTACCTCAAAATGTTTGTTTTTCTCAAAATGAGCCATTTCAAAGTTAATTTAAGGCTATCAGACTAAAAATTATCTTTTGTTTTCACCCTTTCGTTTTAGTCTTGGGTGGGGGTTGCGAAGTAGGTCTCAACATCATCAGCATTGGCAGAATTTGTTGAAATATTGTTTTATTTCTCTTATTTAGGAACAGCATCTGAAGATGGTAAGAATTATATATTTTGTTAGTAATACAAACACCTCAACATTACTATTTTCATCAGTAGGATTAAATATTAAAACTAAAATAGGCTAATTTCTTTGCAAATCTTTATAATTTGCCAGTTGTAATAACTTCTGCTTTCATGTCTGGTTGCATTAGTTATATGTATAGATTTTTTTTTAATTCTTCCATCTTGCTCTTTTATTTTGTATCTTGGATCGTCTCATGCTGGAAACACATAGTTGCTTAACATGTTTAATAATATCTAGTTTAAAGTTGCTATATAATTTCATTTTTCCCAGTAGTGACATTAATATTTTTCTTTTTTGTGTGTGGATTTGTTTTTTAATTTATGCCAATTCATTTATACTTTGCGGGAGCATGCACCATTGCTGTATCATTGGAGCTTAAATATTATTGGAATTTATATGTATTTATTTAGTCTGCTTTTAAATGTATATTTTATTTTTGAATTAGTGACTAGAGAATTGGTCACAGATTGAAAGTGAATTTGATATTACAACAAAATTGCTGCATATATTTTACTGAGCTGGTTCACCTTAAAAATAATTATTTATTGGCCGGGTGCGGTGGCTCACGCCTGTAATCCTACCACTCTGGGAGGCCGAGGCGGGTGGATCGCTCAAGGTCAGGAGTTCGAGACCAGCCTGAGCAAGAGTGAGACCCTGTCTCTACTAAAAATAGAAACAAATTATTTGGACAACTAAAAATATATATAGAAAAAATTAGCCGGGCATGGTGGCGCATGCCTGTAGTCCCAGCTACTCGGGAGGCTGAGGCAGGAGGATCGCTTGAGCCCAGGAGTTTGAGGTTGCTGTGAGCTAGGCTGACGCCATGGCACTCTACTCTGGGCGACAGAGTGAGACTCTGTCTCAAAAAAAAAAAAAAAAAATTATTTATTGCTTTTGAATTTGTAGAAAGGAAAAGAGTTCACTGTGTTTATACTTATCCTACCTGAAGGCTGTTTTATTATATTAAAGCCTCTGATTTAGAACACATTTTTTTCCTCTAAGTTTTACATGGATGACATTTTCTTGTGATTAAAAAAAAAAATAGATTTAGCTTTTTTTGGTACCATATTTACTCTGATATATTTAAAATAATTTTATATTCTGTTTTAAATTTGAATACTCCTTTAAAAACATGATTTCTGGCACTGTGGCATTGTAATTTACAATGTTAGTATCAAAATACTTAATATATACTCACTTGTTTGGAATATAGAATGTGGATGAGCTCTCCATTTTAAAAATAATAATTTGGTTGTTTTGTTTTACTTCTCAGTCAAGAGAACTTTGTGTCCTACTCAAAATAGACTCTATAAAAGGGTGAGATGCCTGAACTATGGGCTCATTGGAGACCTTGAAGTTAATAGAACGCTGATATTCTACCAATTATGCTGTGGTTTTGGTTCTGTTTTATTCCTAGTTCTTACTATTCTCTTATCTTCCCTCATTCATTTCTTAGCTTTATAATTTCTCCTTACTCTTCAGTGTATTTTTTCCTAATTAATATGGCCATATCAGGTTAGCCAGTATTTTGTGTATGCCCTACAAATTGTACTTTGTAACTAAAAAGGATTCTGAGCCTTTCTTTATGAATTTGTTTGGGGTTGGTTCTGATTTGATAGTGGTTGAGACTATTGCTTGAGAACACCAAAATACCTAATAGTAATATATTCTGTCATCACTTGTTTTTATTAATGGCAGCCTTCTTAAGCACTTAATAAACATATCTCCTTTGGTTCAAGAGCTCTAGAAATGGGGTAAGGATGTTTGTAGCCTATTTTTATGGAGGGAGATGAAACAGAAATTGAGTGCAACTGGGAGACAGAGAAGGACATATATTTAGAAAAGCACCAACTCTTATGTGATATGTATTTTCTCAAATCATTTTATAAATGAAATTGGTTGGGAGAAGAGAGCAGTAAACATGTCCACATACTTCTGTAGTAATCTGATATAAAAAGATTAAATATTTTGCCTAATAATATCTCTTCCTGCAAATGCCTTTAGAAATGCATTTTCAGTCAAAGGATTGTTTGGCTTATTGTTTCTAAGATTAGGCTCATATTTAAAACTGTAAGGTGGATTTGAGAATAAATTTCCTAGAAACTGAAATTTTAGAATTGGAGCTACCAATTAAGAAACAAGTGTCATGCCTATGGTAATTATCTTAATTATAGCTACAGGACTAATAATACCAAGCTAATAATGTAAATCTTTTAGTTTGACTTTATTTATTCTTACCCTTGAAAGAAAGTTAGCTTTATAGCACAAGAAAAAAATGTTTTTTTAAATTTTGAAAGAAATATGATATAACCTGTAAGTTATGGTTACTTTATTACAGAATTTGATAGTACTTGCAAATAATCAGATTTTATTCCCCCTGTTGCTAAATAGTATTATAGAAAAATGTCTTTAATTATGTAAATATTTTATTCCTCAGGCCGGGTGAGAGCAAAGCTTTCAGCACCACTTGCTGGCATGGGAAATGCCAAGACAGATTCTAGAGGAAGAAGTCGAACAAAAATGGTGTCTCAGTCACAGCGTATGTATTGCTTATCAGTCCTCCTATCTTTGTCAATATGTTAGGATAAGTGTGTTGCTTGTATATTACTGTATTAGGAGATTGACCAGTGGATAAAGACAAAGCTAATTTCAAAAAAGAGAAGCCACATACTGAGTTCTTGTTCTGTACTTTAGGTTCATCATCACCTGACAAAAATGAAGGTATTTTTTTTTTCAATGTTTTGGGTCAGTTGTTGTGCATGTTTTGGAATTTTTTGAGTGGGTGTTGTCTTGTCTTTGGTGTGTTATTAGGGTCGCATCATTGATATCTGCCACTAAGACAGAAAAACTTCATCTGCTGTACAAATTTTTGCATGGAGATAATTTTAAGTAGCACAAAGCTTTAGCATTAAGGTTTTCACACTCAGAAACTTGCAAATGTGGAAAATTGTGCTTTTTAGAGGCAAATAATTGCCATGCCTTAGCATCAAAATCTGGTTGCCAGGCCTGGCGCAGTGGCTCACGCCTGTAATCGCAGCACTTTGGGAGGCCAAGGGGGAAGGATCGCTTGAGGCCAGGAGTTCGAGGTCAGCCTGGACAACATAGCGAGGCCTCATCTCTATAAAACAAAGCAAAAAGACAAAAAAACAATTTTTGATGAGCTGGCCATGGTGGTGTGCATATTTAGTCCTAGCTACTTGGGAGGCTGAGCCCAGGAGTTCAAGGTTACAGTGAGCTGTGATCGCACCACTGCACTCTAGCCTAGGCAACAGAGTAAGACCTTGTCTCTAAAAAAAAAGAAGAAAAAAGAAAAATCTAGTTGCATCTTAGGTTATATTATTTAAGAACAGATATGTGGTATCTTCCTATGCTCCTCTTAATCTATTAGATCACCTTATTTTTTGTTAGCATTTTTGGCAGATATTTACTGGCTTATAGTGACAAAATATAAATTGAAATGACCAATTCTGTTATATTCCTTCTTAAATTTAAGATTTATATGACTGCTATTTTATTAGAAGCTGAGTTCCTCATAAGCACAATTATTAAAAAGCACAATTTTGAGGTCTAGGTAAAATGAATGATCTGTTTCTACATGTTCCAGAATAGTAAAACACACACTTACAGCATTATTAATTTAAAACCATTTGTTCCCATTCCGTCTTTACTGAGAGATTTTCATTAGTGCTTTATCTATAAAACCAGGAAATTTTTCTAGAGAAGTAATTGTGGGGGTTATTCTATATGCTTGGCTATGAAATGAATTTAACTTTCTTCTGTTATTTAGGTGATTTATTAGGATATGGATGTCCCATTTGTCTCTCTTTTAACCTAATTCTTGAATCTTGGAATCAGGGAAGAGAACTGGACTTATAGGGGGTAGAGTGATGATTACACAAGTCCTTCCTAGCAGACTCTTCTCTTCTCCTCTTTCCAAAGTCAGAAAATCCAGGCAGAATAATAATAATGAGGACACCCAACAATAGTCCTAAAAACAAGCGGAAGTACTCAGTAAAATTGATTTGCAAGTTGAGGATTATTTACAAATAAGAAAAATGGCAAATGTCTTCTAGGCAAGGGCTTTTCTCTCAACCAAATCAGTAGTTCATACCACACTTTTTTCTGATCTTTTGTATTTTTAGAGTAATTTTTAGAATAACTTAATCTTTGGCAGTATAGTATAGTAGTTGAGAGCCTTGCTCCTCCATATATACTGCCCAGACCAACATCAGCATCACCTAGGAGCTGGTTAGAAATGCAAAATCTCATGTATCATCACAGATCTACTGAATCTGATCTTCAAAAAGATCACAAAGTGATTTGTGTCACAATAAAGTTTGAGAAATACATACCGGTTTAGATCATGGACTCTGGAGTCACACTGCCTGGGTTTGAATCCTAGCTCTTTTAGGTTATTTAAAGTTACTGTACTTGTGTATGTTCAGCTGTAAAATGACGAGGATAATTAGCATCTATGTCATAGGATTGTTGTGAAGATTAAATAATGTAGTATTTTTAATACACTTAAAACAGTACCTGGCCCAGAGTAAGCACTATATATGTTAGCTGATAAAATTGTCCTCATTATTATTTTTAATCAAATGTCAATTGAATTTTATACTGCTGTTGTGTACTTCTGTACCTTGTTATTCTTCTTGCCTTCAAGAAACAGAAATAAATAATGAAGTTAGAAAATTTAAAGCATAAAGATAACAACCAGAAATTGTCCATGTCTAGGATCTGAGGATAAAACTTAATTGTGAAGCATTAGTTCTTTTCTAAAATAACACTAAGGCTGATTTCAGGGCAAAAATATTAAAAGGGCTTTGTTTTTTTTTATATATTACTTAAGGGACCTCTTTTTTTAGGTACTTTATAACTAAAGATCACGTCACTAAAAAAATAGAATAATTTTTTTGCATTTGCTTTTTCACTTTGGAACCCAATCCACAGTACTCCAAATCCTCTCCTAAAGTGTGAGAACACAATGATTAGCTTTTTAGACCTAGCAGGACTTTAAGATCAGAAGACTTTCCCACTATAAAATCATTTAGGTTTCAAGTCATATTGGAGGTTTGTGTTTGTTTGCTTGCTTATTTATTTGAATGACTGTATGTTCCATTCCAAATTCTTTTGTAAAAGAGATATTATGTAATTTGTATGCAAGTTTCTTTACAACATATTTGCACAGAAATATTACTGTGATCTCCATCTTCACTTTGTCATAAAGTAATTCATTAGGGTTTGCATGGTCTTGCCATATTTTTGTATCACCATTTAGGAAAAAAGTCTCTTGGATCAAAGCAGGTGTATTCTGATGGCTAACCAAAATAAATAAAAAGCAGACCCAATGGAGAGACTTCTAGATGTATGTTTATGAAAGAGTAGTGTCTCTTTTTGTTGGTAGCTACTGGTTGTATACAAATGATTGTACAGCCTGTCAGAAACTCTGTCTCCCCCCCTCCCACCTTTCATTTTTTTTCTGTGCACAAGATCAAATTTGTAGCTGTTTATATAATTTTTCTTCAGCTATAAGATAATGTAGTTGTTCCTTATGTGTAGTTTTAAATTAAATGTTTAAATAACAAAAACTTAAACATTTAATTATTTAGATTTTGGACTATCGGTGGTAGAAAAGCTGAAGAATTTACATTTACTTTTGCAACTTCATTTCATCTGCTTTGTACACGAGTGTCTAATTTCAGTTTATCAGCTGTAAAAACTACTAAATGTACTGCTTTTGCTATAGACATTTGTGCTTTTGGGATTTTTTCAAGTTTGCTTTTTTTTGCTTCAGAGTTTTTTTATTTTCTGAGAACTGACTAAAGCTTTCTTATTTCCATCTGCCATCCATTTAAAAACTGCTCCTTCCCTCTTCATGGATTATAATCCTTACCCTAATTCTGCCTTTACACTTGTTCAGGATCACAATCTGCTAATACCATTGGTGGTAAGAATCTGTAGACTTTATGTGTGCATATATGTTTTGATCACCTATTTTCATTACAAAGAATGGGTTCTATTCAGCAGAAATTCTTAATATATAATATTCTATTACTCTGTAGTCAGTTGGGGCAAAAATTTCCAGTTACGATTTTTCTTTGGCTTGTCTTTATTTTATTACCAACTAAATTTTTTTAATGATACAGGTTGATAGTACAGAAATAAACATTCAAAAAAAGGAGCTTTAGTTATGCTTTGCAATGCCATAAAAAGTATAAAATGATACTTTGAAAATTTTGGGCAAGACAAGAGAAAATAGGTATCGAAGTTCAAGTTTTGCAAATTAGGGTGTTTTCTGACAGCATTATGCCCCTTTTCATCAACTCTGTGGTTTTCCTAAAAGATATAATTGGCCTTGGTGGCTCTTTGTTGGGGAAGGAGCCTTGGTATTTTCTCCTAAATAGAAATAATTCCAAAATGAGTCATAGACACTGGAATTATCATACTCTCGGTAGGGATCAAGAGTATTAGGGAAGAGAGGGTAATGACTGAGGCAAAATTAACAATGTCAATTTTATTACCTAGGAGAGAGCATGAATGAATTTTAATATGTAGAGTAAACTTACATAATTTTGATAAATTCAATAAATCTAGAGTAGAAAGGAGTTACTCTGTTTCTAAACTGCATTTTTCCTATCTGCTGAATAGACCCACATTTAAAGGAATTCTCCAATCTCCTACCAACACTCCACCTCCCCCGAAATTTATATTGATTTTAACAAAATACCATATTGTATGTGCTCAGTTCATTATTTACACTTTGTATATTGTTGCAAGTTTTCCCATAAAATATTCCATTGGCCTATCTTGCATTGTGAGTTTGTGGCATGTTGGGTGTTTGGATGTTCTGGTGTATACGTTTAGTTTAGACTCTGCATGGAGAAAACAAGTGCCGTATGAGTATCCTTGAGGTTACAACTGAAAGAAACTGGATTCAAAGATTCTTCACCTGAAATATCATGACACATTCAAATGAGATATCATTTTAAAGTAGACTTGAATAATTTCCCTACAATAATTTAGAATTCTTTCTACTCAAATAATAAATCGTTAATTTCATTGGAAACAATGCTTTGTTTTACAATATAGCTATCACCAGTGGAAGATAAGTTTCATTTTGTGTGCTTGTAAAGTTTAATAATTAAGCAGGAGTGCAAATTGTACTCAGCAAGACTATGCCAAGAAAACTGTAGCAAGGATCACAGATCAGCAGCCCATGGACCACATCCAGCCTGCCCCCGTTCATGAATTATTAGGCCTACACGACATGATAAAAATCGGGAAATGTCAAAGCTTTCACTTTTGAAAAATACCAAGACCTGCCCAGTATTACCTCAAGACAGAGCTGGCTAGAACTAAAGTCACCTCCCACTTAGGAGAGGGCAGGCACTCCCCTCTTGATCAAAGTTCTCTTATTATTCCCTGCTCTACACTCAGTGTTCCTCCCTTTTTTGACATCCCATGCTTATCCCCATTGGCATTTGAGTCTGTGAAAATGAAGTATGATTGGGTAAGACTATACAGTGTGAGCAGTGATTCTCTTACTGTGGTACCCAATGAAGGGAAAAGGTTGCTTTCATGAAGATTTATTTAATTGCAAGTTTAATATTTCTATAATGTTACCATTCAAAATCTAGAGTTAGATTACATCTTGGAGTTATCTAGTTCATTTTCCTGTTCAATGTAGACATAAAGTGCTTCGATTGACAAAAATTTAACTCATGCATTTGTAGCTTAAAACTATGTTTTTTAAACTGTTTTTTTAACTTATGCCCCAGTCCCTAAAAAGATTTTTTTCTACCCCCCGCCCACCCCCATCTCTCCGACCACACCTCCTCTACCTTAACAAGACCGAAAATTTGGAAAATTTTCTAGTTTGGAAAAGATCAAACTAGTTTGGAAAAGATCAGACTTCTTTGACATTTGCCCTTACTCATGTTCTACCCTCAGTATTTCTATATCCCAGAATGTTACCACCCAAGAGCCCTTTGCTATTTGAAAGCAAATAGCAAAAAGCGTTTCTTTTTTAGCTGACCCAATTTTTTCAACATTTAAAATTTAACTTTCTAAAATTTAAAAATATACCTAGTAGCCACATAGATAACTTTGCTATATCCATTTGAAGGAATCTCAATAGGCAAACTTATAAAATGAAGCAAATTATCATTATTGTATATTTAACAAAAGTAGTAGCAGTGATAGAATTATTAAAGTTTTTTTTTCCTTATAAATGCAATCATGTGCCACATAACATTTTGGACTACGACAGACCACACACACAATGATGATCCTATAAGATTATAATACTAAATTTTTACTGCATCTCTTCTATGTTTAGGTATGTGTAGGTACACAAATACTTATTGTGGTTCAATTGCCTACAGTATTCAGGATAGTAACTTGTTGTACAGGTTTGTAGCCTAGAAGCAGTCAGCTATACCATATAGTGTTTAGTAAGCTATACCATCTAAGTTTGTGTAAGTATACTCTATGATATTTGTATGACAACAAAATCACCTAACAACACATTTCTCAGAACGTGTCCCCGTCATTAAGTGACGCATGACTGTATATAACTTTCTCACACACAGCAGTTTAGTCATATGAAATGTATTGTCAGATAAATGATTTCTTTGAAAATCTTTTATGCTATTGTGTTCTAAAAGTCATAATAGTGTTGGCCTTATTAAACATAATATCTTATACCCTCCCAAAACTGAAAATATATTTTAGGTGATTTATCATTCAGTGCTAGTATATACAGTATACCTTCTTTTTTTCCAGGTTACAATTATATATAAATCTTCCTCAGTCCATTTCCTTTGAACTTAGAGCCTGCCATACTACCATAGTTTTCTCTGTTATATTTCTTGAATTTTTCTCCTTTCAGCAAATTCTCTTGAAGTTCCTGCCTTAATATTTGTTTATGTTTGGTGTTCAGCTGGCAGCCGGTCTGGGTCTCCAGGAAGAGTTCTGACCACAACAGCCCTCTCCACTGTGAGCTCTGGTGTTCAAAGAGTCCTGGTCAATTCAGCCTCAGCACAGAAGAGAAGCAAGATACCACGGAGTCAGGGCTGTAGCAGAGAGGCTAGTCCATCTAGGCTTTCAGTAGGTAAGGTTTTTTATGTGAGACTTGTGACTTTTTTTGTTTGTTTGTTTCAGGCTTTGGTAGCATTGAAGACTTTGGAATACGAGCAGGCACTTATAAATTAGAGGAAAACAAACTTAAAAATTCAACAGTTGAAATACAGGTTATAAATTGAATCAGGTATCTCATTTTGAAAGTATAGTTCATAGGAGCTTCAAAAATATAACAAGTATTTTAAAGGGCAAGGTTATGGAATTTACAAAACATTTGTCATATATATACATAAATGTATACATACATATGTTAGCTGCTTATATTTGACATTAGTATTACAGTTCAGCCCTATTCAAATACTAGTAAACTTCTAGTTTTTCTTTGTGTATCGACTAGGTACCTGACTTTAAATTTCAGTTAACAAATTATAATTGAAGCTATCTTAAACAATAAGATTTGGCCGGGCGCGGTGGCTCACGCCTGTAATCCTAGCACTCTGGGAGGCCGAGGCGGGCGGATTGTTTGAGCTCAGGAGTTCGAGACCAGCCTGAGCAAGAGTGAGACCCCCTCTCTACTGAAAAAAAAAATAGAAAGAAATTATCTGGACAACTAAAAATATACAGAAAAAATTAGCCGGACATGGTGGCACATGCCTGTAGTCCCAGCTACTCGGGAGGCTGAGGCAGAAGGATCGCTTGAGCCCAGGAGTTTGAGGTTGCTGTGAGCTAGGCTAACGTACCACGGCACTCACTCCGGCCAGGGCAACAGAGTGAGACTCTGTCTCAAAAAAAAAAAAAAAAACAATAAGATTTATTGGCTCTTTTAACTAAAAAGTTTGGAGATTATACATCCCTGGGGTCTGTCTGTTTCCCCTCCCTTCTTCCCTTCTTTCCTTTCTGCTTTATCAGTCATGGTGCTGACATTGTCCTTAGGTTAGCTGCTACTTCATCTGTCATGCCTAGAGCAGAAGTTCCCTAATTACTCCAACTTCTTTTTCATCATTTGTTTTTCATTGTTTTATAAGTCTTTTGTAGATTACCTATATAACTTTAAAGAATATGCTCATATTTATATTTCTTGTCCCATCAACTTCCATCAGTATCTCAACTCTCATACTTTTCCTTCACCTTCTGCTCTCTTAGAATTATCAGTTTTATTTTTACATGATTAAAGTTAACACATACGTTCTTTACATCCACAAGCAAGTCTTATATAAGTACCTGTTCTATAAGTTGGCTTTAAAAATTGAAAAGCTATAAGTAACATTTACTGTGTTATGAGTAAATAAATGTTTGCTGCCAAGACAGTGTGCTGTGACCTCATTTTTTCCCAAAGATACACTGAATTTAACAATCAACTGTTAGGAACCACTTGAAGGAGAATGTTCCTGATAATGCAGAAATGAATTCTCTTTTCTTACAGTCGTACCAGTTACTTACAATTAGGCCACCAATTAGGCCACATTTTAGTTTGCTTTGTATTTGGACAGTGATTAAGAATAATGTGTACTTCTTATATCCTCTAGTATTGCTGCCCCTTCAGTAATATTATTATATGGAGTTTCTTATTTTCTGGTGACTTCTTTCCGGTACTCTGGATTGGCTGCTATCTGGGCCTCTTGCTCAGCTGTCATCTCTCAATTCCCCCATTTACTGCTTTCCTTCATTGAAAGCAACCTTTCCTGGATCCTCTTTTTTTTTTTTTATTTACTCTTTTGTTTTGCTTATATACATTCTGAAATACATTTTAGAAATCGTGTGTAGGAGTCAAGCTTTTTGAGGCCTTACTTGTCTAAGAATGTCTTTTTTCATTAGGTAGCACAGATTCCTTTTAGGCTTACAGATTTTCTATTAATGTCCTTAGTAGCACTTTTCACTTATATTGTGCCTGGTATTTGACCCAAGAGCCTCTGAAGTTTTCATCTAGTTGATTCATTTCTTTTTGTTTTCCAGACATTAAATACTTTAGTCCTTTTCAACAAAAATATTGACATTTCAACTTAGATCGTTTAACTTATTTTTCTGTACGGTGTTTGTGGTTTTTTTATTTGTGAGGAGTGAGAAAAGGGATGAGAATTGAAAGCATTGGCTCATTTTTTTCCTCTTTATCTTGAACTGAAAACTTAAGAATGGGTATTGTACCTTAGATTAATATTTGAAATGTATAGATTTTTTCTCTTAAAAGCAAGATGTAGTCCTAAGATACAAAAAATGATGGAAGTCTTTATAGTTTAGTCAACATAGAGAAAAACCGAGTTTTACTATGTTGCACAATATTTTAAATCTTTTTATTTGTAGCCTTTTTATTTTAGTAAAATATTATTTTACCCTTCTAGTCTTATATAAACTAGAGGACCATATTTTAAAAATTTAAGTTATTCCTGGTAATGCTGCATCAAGAATAATTTCAATCTTAGAAAAACTTAAGTTATCGATCAGTTTTTAGAATAACAAAATCAAAAATTTTTTAAATACAAACTTTGTCTTCTGTTTTTTTCCTTGCTGTGCTGCTGTTGCTTCATACCAGCCCGAAGCAGTCGTATTCCTCGACCAAGTGTGAGTCAAGGATGCAGCCGGGAAGCTAGTCGGGAGAGCAGCAGGGACACAAGTCCTGTTCGCTCTTTTCAGCCCCTCGGTACGTGTTTGGGCAGGTGTGAGGTGCATTGCTTTCCCCTTGTGTTATCACCAATCAATGACTTCAACATACATGGGATTTAGCTTTCTTCATTGACTATGTCTTTGACCCTATCTCTTTTCTGTCATTTTGAGGAAAAACTGAGAGGGAAATTGTATTTTTGGGAAACTACTTTGACTAGACTTGTTTGTGTTAAATGAGCAAGTTAGTTATTATATTAAAAAATTTCTTTCATAGTCAAGTAAATGTCACAGATTTAAACTTCAGAATATTGAATTCAAGATTTTTCTTAATAAGTAAATTAACAGAATTTAAAGATAACATTTAAATATTTACTCTCAAGTGAAATATGGTCAGTTTAATTTGGTAAAATACTTTTGTCCTTTTCAACAAAAATATTGACATTTCAACTTAGGTCATTTAACTTAGGTTGCTAAAAAGAGTGCCACAAAATATTATATGAACTACTTATTATCAGTAGGAGGGAATAACATTTTTTTAGTATTTTATAATTTAACAGTCATTTCCCATATATTAGCTCACGTCATGTCCCTGCTATAAAGAAACTGTATTGTAACCTTGATTATAATACTATATTTAACCTCAATTATAAAAATATTAAATGATTTTTAAAATCTTTAGTATTTTTGGATAACCGGAGAGGCATAATTTTTTACACTGAGAATCTTTAGAATTTCTGCATGATCCTTCAGCATTTTAACTAGCCCTTTGTATGCACAAACCTGTAGCCATTTCAGATTCTTTGACAACATGGAGTTTATTGTAATACTTAGAAATTTGCTCTTCAGACTTTGGAATAGAACATAGTTCTATTTGTTGTCTACTCGAATTCTTATTTCCTCAGATAGATATACTAGTATAGAATTTCCAGTGATTAATTTTTGATTCTCTGGGCTATTTGGCTCAAATATATCACTAGGCTGTGCTATACTGAACTAGAAAACGCCAGTGAACTAAGGACATATTAATAGAAGAATATCCTTATCCTTTGTTTGTGCTCCAGCCCCAGATACCAAAGTTTCCTTCTTTCCCTTCCCCCTGTGGAAGTTGCCAGGGTAAAAAGAACTATTCTGTATCACTAAGGCTGTGTATGGCAGGTACTTTGCCAGAGATATTTTTAATTCATGTACAATAGAGTTAGTTTATAGAGTGTCTGTGCATGTGCACACACACATATATGGCCCATCTTCACGCATATATGTTTATAGAAATGCAATATAAATCCTATATGTGTTTAAAATAAACATGCCACTTTGAGTTGAGGGAAGTGGAGTGAATATGTGGTGGTTTAAGAACATGTGTTCTAGGGTCAGATGACCTGAGTTCATACCCAGCTCTGTAATCTTTCTGTACCCAGGTTTTCTCATCTATAAAACAAGGATAATAATAGTATGTACTTCTTAGGATTGTTTTGAAGACTCATAAATGAGAAATTACATGAAAAACTCAGGGCAGTGCTTGGCCCACATGAACGCTCACTTATGTCATTATGGTCGTCATCATCATGACCACTGCTGCAGCCACTTCTGCTCCACCTCTTCCCCCTGAAGCTCTAATCACTTACCCTAGAAACAGTTTCATTATACGTTAGTGGCAAGGACCTCAGATTTTTTAATGGTATGACATCTGTGTTTATATAATGCCAATACCACAGAATTACTAGAAAACATATCAAGAAGAAGCTAAAATGTGTTTCCGCACCTTTTAAACCTGTACAATAGTCAGAGATTAGAGGAGATTTATAATCTACTACTAATTACTTTAAAAGTAAACATTATTAATATGCCAAATTTTAAAGAGATATATTGTCTAGTCACTAATTTTCTAGATTCATCTTAAAGCTTCCATTTGACAAATCACTTAAATTTTATTAAAGAAAGCAGTTTTCCTGATTCTCATGAAAGTTCCTATTTGGGCTAAAGATGATTAAACCTTTTAGTCATATAGTTTTCAAAGAACTGGATTTTTTATAGCCCTTTTATTTACATATGGATACTGCATGCAAAGGTAGCAGATTAGCCCTGTTTGTTTCACAGGGATAAAGAGTAGAATTCCCAGAGATTAAGTTGTCCTCACCATTCCCATTTTTAGCTACATCTGCCTGCATTCTGTGCTCCTTACTATATTTGTTCATTTGGTGGAATCCCTTTGTCACCTCTGACTTTAAATATTGCCATTCAGCAGATGAATCCCCTATCTTGTTATGCATTCACATGTACCACAAGTCCATGCTTTATAATAATTTAAAATTAATTTAGTGAGGGCCCTAAAGCATCAGAAATAAATCAGAGCTGAGCAAAGCTGAACTTCTCTGGAACTTGTACCCTTAGTTTCTATTTATTTCTAGAACCAAGATTTTTTAAAAGGCTTACTTTATTACAAACACAAGTCTTATCTGTTATCTTTGGTCACAAATAACTATTGATTCTATAAAGTTTTTCAAAGATTTTCATCTACTAGGCATTTCCACATTTGCTAAACTCTTTCTCACCATTTTAGAAATTATTTCTGCTTGGTAAAATTAAAATTAATTATGTATTACTATATTTTACTAATGATCCCAGTCACCTTTCAGGGATGATTAAACATTTTGTGTAGCATTCTCTTTATTTAATCCTTCTTTCTCTCAGTCTTTTTGGTCATTTTCCTGTTTATTATGGCTGTCCTGTAACGAAGGAAAGAGTGGCTCTTGTAATAAAAATATTTTAACTGCTCTAATTAATATCTGAGGATGAATTACTTTTAAAATAAAAATAATAGGCCGGGCGTGGTGGGTCACGCCTGTAATCCTAGCACTCTGGGAGGCCAAGGCGGGCGGATTGTTTGAGCTCAGGAGTTCAAGACCAGCCTGAGCAGGAGCAAGACCCCATCTCTACTAAAAAAATAGAAAGAAATTATCTGGACAACTAAAAATATACAGAAAAAATTAGCCGGACATGGTGGCACATGCCTGTAGTCCCAGCTACTCGGGAGGCTGAGGCAG